TAGTATAGGAAGGCGTTTTGAGTGCGAAAAAAACGACATAGTATAGTAAGGAGCTTTTAGCCGAAAAAAACGACATAGTATAGTAAGGCGTTTTTAGCCCGAAAAAGACGACATAGTATAGGAAGGCGTTTTGAGTGCGAAAAAAACGACATAGTATAGTAAGGAGCTTTTAGCCGAAAAAAACGACATAGTATAGTAAGGCGTTTTTAGCCCGAAAAAGACGACATAGTATAGGAAGGCGTTTTGAGTGCGAAAAAAACGACATAGTATAGTAAGGAGCTTTTAGCCGAAAAAAACGACATAGTATAGTAAGGCGTTTTTAGCCCGAAAAAGACGACATAGTATAGGAAGGCGTTTTGAGTGCGAAAAAAACGACATAGTATAGTAAGGAGCTTTTAGCCGAAAAAAACGACATAGTATAGTAAGGCGTTTTTAGCCCGAAAAAGACGACATAGTATAGGAAGGCGTTTTGAGTGCGAAAAAAACGACATAGTATAGTAAGGAGCTTTTAGCCGAAAAAAACGACATAGTATAGTAAGGCGTTTTTAGCCCGAAAAAGACGACATAGTATAGGAAGGCGTTTTGAGTGCGAAAAAAACGACATAGTATAGTAAGGAGCTTTTAGCCGAAAAAAACGACATAGTATAGTAAGGCGTTTTTAGCCCGAAAAAGACGACATAGTATAGGAAGGCGTTTTGAGTGCGAAAAAAACGACATAGTATAGTAAGGAGCTTTTAGCCGAAAAAAACGACATAGTATAGTAAGGCGTTTTTAGCCCGAAAAAGACGACATAGTATAGGAAGGCGTTTTGAGTGCGAAAAAAACGACATAGTATAGTAAGGAGCTTTTAGCCGAAAAAAACGACATAGTATAGTAAGGCGTTTTTAGCCCGAAAAAGACGACATAGTATAGGAAGGCGTTTTGAGTGCGAAAAAAACGACATAGTATAGTAAGGAGCTTTTAGCCGAAAAAAACGACATAGTATAGTAAGGCGTTTTTAGCCCGAAAAAGACGACATAGTATAGGAAGGCGTTTTGAGTGCGAAAAAAACGACATAGTATAGTAAGGAGCTTTTAGCCGAAAAAAACGACATAGTATAGTAAGGCGTTTTTAGCCCGAAAAAGACGACATAGTATAGGAAGGCGTTTTGAGTGCGAAAAAAACGACATAGTATAGTAAGGAGCTTTTAGCCGAAAAAAACGACATAGTATAGTAAGGCGTTTTTAGCCCGAAAAAGACGACATAGTATAGGAAGGCGTTTTGAGTGCGAAAAAAACGACATAGTATAGTAAGGAGCTTTTAGCCGAAAAAAACGACATAGTATAGTAAGGCGTTTTTAGCCCGAAAAAGACGACATAGTATAGGAAGGCGTTTTGAGTGCGAAAAAAACGACATAGTATAGTAAGGAGCTTTTAGCCGAAAAAAACGACATAGTATAGTAAGGCGTTTTTAGCCCGAAAAAGACGACATAGTATAGGAAGGCGTTTTGAGTGCGAAAAAAACGACATAGTATAGTAAGGAGCTTTTAGCCGAAAAAAACGACATAGTATAGTAAGGCGTTTTTAGCCCGAAAAAGACGACATAGTATAGGAAGGCGTTTTGAGTGCGAAAAAAACGACATAGTATAGTAAGGAGCTTTTAGCCGAAAAAAACGACATAGTATAGTAAGGCGTTTTTAGCCCGAAAAAGACGACATAGTATAGGAAGGCGTTTTGAGTGCGAAAAAAACGACATAGTATAGTAAGGAGCTTTTAGCCGAAAAAAACGACATAGTATAGTAAGGCGTTTTTAGCCCGAAAAAGACGACATAGTATAGGAAGGCGTTTTGAGTGCGAAAAAAACGACATAGTATAGTAAGGAGCTTTTAGCCGAAAAAAACGACATAGTATAGTAAGGCGTTTTTAGCCCGAAAAAGACGACATAGTATAGGAAGGCGTTTTGAGTGCGAAAAAAACGACATAGTATAGTAAGGAGCTTTTAGCCGAAAAAAACGACATAGTATAGTAAGGCGTTTTTAGCCCGAAAAAGACGACATAGTATAGGAAGGCGTTTTGAGTGCGAAAAAAACGACATAGTATAGTAAGGAGCTTTTAGCCGAAAAAAACGACATAGTATAGTAAGGCGTTTTTAGCCCGAAAAAGACGACATAGTATAGGAAGGCGTTTTGAGTGCGAAAAAAACGACATAGTATAGTAAGGAGCTTTTAGCCGAAAAAAACGACATAGTATAGTAAGGCGTTTTTAGCCCGAAAAAGACGACATAGTATAGGAAGGCGTTTTGAGTGCGGAAAAAACGACATAGTATAGTAAGGCGTTTTTAGCCGAAAAAAACGACATTGTATAGTCAGGCGTTTTTAGCCGAAAAAAACGACATTGTATAGTCAGGCGTTTTTAGCCGAAAAAAACGACATTGTATAGTCAGGCGTTTTTAGCCGAAAAAAACGACATTGTATAGTCAGGCGTTTTTAGCCGAAAAAAACGACATTGTATAGTCAGGCGTTTTTAGCCGAAAAAAACGACATTGTATAGTCAGGCGTTTTTAGCCGAAAAAAACGACATTGTATAGTCAGGCGTTTTTAGCCGAAAAAAACGACATTGTATAGTCAGGCGTTTTTAGCCGAAAAAAACGACATAGTATAGTAAGGCGTTTTTAAAGCGAAAAAAACGACATAGTATAGTACTATGTCGTTTTTTTCGGGCAAAAAACGCCTTACGATACTGTGTCGTTTTTTTCGGGCCAAAAACGCCTTACTGTACATGGTCGTTTTTTTCGTCAAAAAATGCCTTCCTATACATGGTCGTTTTTTCCTCAAAAAACGCCTAACTATACATGCTCGTTTTTTTCGTCAAAAAACGCCTTACGATATATACATGGTCGTTTTTTTTTTTGGCAACAAATGGCTTACTATACATGGTCATTGTTTTCGGCTAAAAACGCCTTACTATACATGGTCGTTTTTTTTCGGCTGAAAACGGCTTACTATACATGGTCGTTTTTTTTCGGACGTTTTTTCCGGCTTACAACGCCTTTCGATACATGGTCGTTTGTTTTCAGCAAAAAACGCCTTACTATACGCGGTCGTTTTTTTTAGGCTGAAAACGCCTTACTATCCGCCGGAGTTTTTTTGGGCTAAAAACACCTTCCTATACATGGTCGTTTTTTTCCGTCAAAAAACGCCTTATGATATATACATGGTCGTTTTTTTCGGCTAAAAACGCCTTACTATACATGGTCGTTTTTTTTCGGCTAAAAACGGCCTACTATACATGGTCGTTTTTTTTCGGCTAAAAACGGCCTACTATACATGGTCGTTTTTTTTCGGCTAAAAACGGCCTACTATACATGGTCGTTTTTTTTCGGCTAAAAACGGCCTACTATACATGGTCGTTTTTTTTCGGCTAAAAACGGCCTACTATACATGGTCGTTTTTTTTCGGCTAAAAACGGCCTACTATACATGGTCGTTTTTTTTCGGCTAAAAACGGCCTACTATACATGGTCGTTTTTTTTCGGCTAAAAACGGCCTACTATACATGGTCGTTTTTTTTCGGCTAAAAACGGCCTACTATACATGGTCGTTTTTTTTCGGCTAAAAACGGCCTACTATACATGGTCGTTTTTTTTCGGACGTTTTTTCCGGCTTACAACGCCTTTCGATACATGGTCGTTTGTTTTCAGCAAAAAACGCCTTACTATACGCGGTCGTTTTTTTTAGGCTAAAAACGCCTTACTATCCGCGGGAGTTTTTTTGGGCTAAAAACGCCTTCCTATACATGGTCGTTTTTTTCCGTCAAAAAACGCCTTATGATATATACATGGTCGTTTTTTTTTTTTGGCAACAAATGGCTTACTATACATGGTCATTTTTTTTCGGCTAAAAACGCCTTACTATACATGGTCGTTTTTTTTTCGGCGTTTTTTTCCGGCTTACAACGCCTTTCGATACATGGTCGTTTTTTTCGGCTAAAAACGCCCTGCTGTACATTGTTTTTTGGGGGGCTAAGAACGCCTTCCTATTCATGGTCGTTTTTTGGGGCTAAAAACGTCTTTCTGTACAGCGTCGTTTTTTTCGGCAAAACACTGCTTATTCTACATCGTCATTTCGGGGGGAAAAATATCCCTTCCTATACTTGGTCATTGAAAAGCGCCTCACAATATATGGTCTTAAGTCAAGCGTTTTTTTTTCCTAAATGACCATGGATAGTAAGACGGGTTTTTTCCCCCGAAACTACCATGTCTACTAAGGTGCAGCACGGCAGGTTGACAGTGTCTTTCTGACACAGCGTCTCCAGTGTTAAGTCCGATCAAAATTTTCACTTACCTTTGCATGTTGGATTAGGAAACACACATAGGAAGGCCAGAGCCGGGATCGAACCAGCCCTCCTCTTCATGACTTTGTCGCTACTTTACTTGAAAGCACTTCATGGTAATTGTCACAAAAATGACTTTGTCATTACTCTCCCAACTTCTCGTCACATGTCCAGAAAATTTCAAGTGTTCCATTAACATGCCGTGCATGTTTTTGGAAAGTTTGAGGAAACCGGAGTAAAGAAAACCAAAGAAAACGCACGCAGCCAGGGGCACAACACCCAAACTCCACAAAGGAGGGCCGGAGCCGGAATCAACCCCTGCCCCTCTGCACTGGGAGGGCAACGCGCTAACCACTCGCCCAACAGCCCGCCACTGAAATATAAAGACATAGCAAATAGTAAATCGGAAATGCAAGACCAACATTCATCAGAAATGGTTTTAATGAAGTTATGAGTTTCTGAAAGTTCATGAAATGTTAAGTATTTTTTAAATACAATCAGGATTTTGACTACCTCCTTTTAATACAAATGAGGTTGCTTGCTCGACAGACAAAAGTATTGAGACAAGCCGTGGACTCAAGTACGACGTTCTAAAAAAAAATATATATATGGTATGGGATTCCATTCAGTACTGGATGCCCCGATACGGTTGGCCCTATTGTGCATGAGGATATGTTCAATCCATGTGATTGAATAAATATGTGAACCTCATTATTTGTAGAAAAATGTGGATATTTTTGTTTGGAAAACTACCACTTCATCATTATGATGCCCGTTAAAATACAGGTACCAGTGCTCGGAAAAAAAAGGGAATTGCATTTATTCGTTCTCGTCTTAAACCCCCCGCACCTGTGCTCAAGTCTTACTCAAGTGGGCGGGGGTCCATTTGTGTAATGTAACATGGGATGAAAAGAGCGGGCAAAGTTGTTGGCAACAGTGCAGCTCGAGTCTCTCTCCGACTGGGGGACCAAACACGGGAGGAGCAGCAAGAACAGCAGGAGGAGGTGAAATGGGACGGCAGCCCACAGGACCCGACAGAAGAAGGAGCGCGGTGGGGATGAGTCTCTCCTCCCTCTGGGTGGCACAGACACGCACAGACAAAATATACTCAAACATTCTTTCTATGTCCATTGTTGATTCAAACCTCTCTTCTTCATATTGAGTAAATACCTTTGAGTGGAAGGCGACTCCTTTGTTTGGGTGATGTGCCGAGATGAATCCAAAGGGACATTTTGACCTTTGTAAGTGTTGCAGTCCTGCATTTGAAAAGATAAAGAATGGATTACGTGTCAGATTTGGGAAGAAATAACCATTTTGATATCCATCTCGGAGAGGTAAAAATAAATCAATCAAACTGCGCGTTTACCAGACGTTGATGCAGGATGTTCAGGTCCTCGCTCACGTCCTTCAGGAGTAACTTCAATTTGGTGGCCGTCACGTGGAGCTTCTCCTGGGCCTCGTGGCTCCCCTCGCCCCCGTCCTCTGGCTGGAGTTGAAACCACAGGGTGTGGAGCGAAGCCTGCTGGCTCCGCCTCTCCAGGAGCTCCTCCAGCAGGGCCTGAACAGGCGCAAGGGTTCAACCACAGCTGACCAAAATTGAGGGCGCCTGAAGCTGGACTACGCCGTGTCTCAGCATGCGTAACGCGAGAGGCGGCGTATACAACACGCGGGGCTTTTTGGGGTCAAATTTTAAAATGCTGACAGGAGAAATGTTCCTCCCAAAGTGGAATATAAATGCTTCTGGCAGTTGAACGAACTAACAAATGAATACTGTCGCGCGGGCCTTGATTTTCATTCACTTTTGTTTCACAGCTAAGCCGTAACGGATGACCGTGCTCGACTGTGCGCTGTTGTACTGTGTACTGTTGTAGTTCTACAATGGGACGCCATGTTCATCCCCCATTTTTATCCTTTGACTCTCTTGTAGAGTATTTTAATATCACATGTTTTTTTTTTCTGCGTTCCACTCCTTCAAGGGCGGCATCCTGCCCAAAATAAATACAACAGCCCCAAATTTCATTTTATGGTCAGAAGCAGAATCCAAACTAACAATCTACCGCATGTCGGTGGAATGCAAATTTCCATTAACCGTTCTTGACCCAATTTCACAATTTTATGACCTTCACAAAGTCCAATAAGAGATTAGCATCATTTCAATGACCCTGTGAAGTCTTCCCAGATGTGAGGAGCCACTCACTGCACTTATTACAAAGTCAGCTGAATGCACACCGAGCTTACAGTGAGGGAGCGATGCTGCCGTTTCAGAATTTGAAGAGGCGTCTCCGGATCTCTGATGTCCACCGCGTCGCGTTTCTTCTCGGCGCACGCCAGCCACAGCAGCAGGGAATGGAGGCTCTCATCAAACTCCTGTACGGTAGATGGCTTGAAGTTAGCGCTTCCGAGGAGGGCGTGTTCTCAGACACGTCTGTTGGTTTGTTTTTCTCTTTTGCATAATACCCTGCATCCACCCAAATAACTAATAAATAACATTGTGTTCAAAGTGGCACTGAGAATATACTTTTTGCTGGAAACTCTTCACACACATCCGAATCATTGAAAAGGCCCACGAAAAAGGAGCCGCTTGTCAGTGACCGAGCAACTATCGAAATAAGATATTCATTGGACCGTAATTTAGATTTCTTCTAACCTGGCAGCGCATCAGAGTCCTTCTCAAACTGGTTTCCCACTGGTGAAGAAGTGTTGAAGCTCGGCTCCAGGCTTGGTTCAAATCGACGAGCTTCTCCTGCTGCTCCGGGACTTGCAGAGCGCGCAGGTTGACTGACAGCATGATAGGCTTGTAGTGCGTAAACATCTCCTTCATCTCCTGAAAAGGGATATGCACGCAAAACCATTTTCAAGAATCGCCAATGCTCAAATTTATGATTGCCTTCACAGTCGAGTGTGTCAAAAATATCGTATTGACTGCCATTGTTGTTTGGAAGCAGGAATATATTTATAATTCAGCCCTACAAGCCGGTGTAAACTGTAGGAAAGTCCCAAGACCGGCTCAGCGCAGCGGCTGGAGTGAGGACGCCCATCGGTCTTGAAACTATGCCAAACAATAACCGTATGATAAATCATCCTAAGAATTCCATAGCGAGTCAGAGGAGCGCATATTATGGATTGCAGAAGCCAGTGCGCCCCAGAATGCGCTTGGACAAACAAAACCCAAAGATGGCAAATTAACAATTCAACATTAGCACATGTCCGTATTTTTCATGATGCTGTACTTGTGATTATTTTGTTGCGGGCCTGCCCGTTACCTTCATCTCTTTCGCTCTGGTTGCCATGTCAACAATCCTGTTGCTTGGATGCGACTGCTGGAGGCGGTCCAGTTCCGGATGAATGTTGTCTAACCAGGAAATGACCTCATCGAGGTCAGATGTGACATTGGGCGGATCCCGGGGGTCGGCGTCTTGTTCGTTCCCGGACTGAGCCTGCAGCAGTTCCCAGCGTTCAATCACCCCTGAGAGAGCAAACACATCAGCTGAGGGAGCCTCTCATGCAAGCAAATTCTCAACACGTGCTAAAATCTTCCTTTTGTAAGTGCTGCTCACCTGACTGTTTGCCTGAGCCACCCGAGTTTGTCAAACCGAACTCTGGCTGCTCCTCCTCATTATCATCATCCAGGATCAGACAAGCTCTTTTCATGTCATCAATGTTGTCACTGCACTGGGACATTTGATGCGACTGGAGATAAAATGATACACAATAAGTGCAATTGGGCATCGGCGGTTGTCCTGAGACCTCCATCCACAGCCTATTCGGTTTCCTTCGGTGCTCAACGCTTTGCTTCCACATTAAACTGATTGGTTTGGATCTGGTGGGACGGTATTTGTGCAACGTACATGGACTAGCTTGACCGGCGTGCTGGTGAGGGCGGGTTGAACGTTGTGGTCGCCGGCGTCGGGTTCTTCATCTGTCGGTGATGGCCAGATTGGAGACTCGCAGGCAGCCATCAACCTGTCCGATACTGACACACAATAACTTATAGGGGGAATACATTTGGAGTCTTATGGGTGCGTTTGTCCGATCGGACTGAACGCTCATCAAACAAATGCGCCCTGTTAAATTTCAGCTGGAAACATTAAAATGTTGCACATACAAATGAGCTCGGAGGCATTTGTAAAACTAAAAAGCGGATACATGAGTGTGCGATATGGGCACAGTAAGCAGAGGCGAACGCTGTTCAATTATTTGGGTTGACGGAGACGAAGGGCTCTGAGGAAGAAAAGCTCGCCAGCAGCGGCAGGTAAGAGGGAGGAGGAGCAAAAATGTATTATTTGGGAGCCTCACATGAAGGGGACCTCTTCAGGAAATAAGGTCAACCTTGCAGCGAAAGGATCTGAAAGCGTCACAGTGACCCAGTTCGTGCAACTTTTTCCAATCAAGAATGTGTCAATGAGAAGAAAATAATGAGTGTGAAGATTTTGTTTGGCTTTGAATGCGTTTCCAAAAATCAGCTCCATGGAGAAGAGTGGCGCTAGACACGAATGAGCCAGAAAATGTTGAAAGGTTTTTGTTGCGGGGGGGGGGCAGGGGTAACCCACACATGATTGGTCCAATAAACGGGCAACCTCTTTAGGGAAGCAGCCTGCAGCAGATGTGCGCACTCCTCAATCCTAATCTAATTCTCTTTTCAACATCCAATCAAATGTCACCGTGGAAACATTGGATGCCCGAAATTTCATAACTGAAGGAAATGATTTTGTCTCAGAGAAAATACCCACCGCTTTTGTCTCCTGGGATTACTCTAATAACAGAAACAAGCTCAAGAAGAGTATTTGTGCATTTTTTGACAGAATAAAAGGAATACGGGTTTTTTTTTGTTTTGTTTTTTTTAATCGAACATGTACCATATTTTCCGCCCTAAAAGGCACACTGGATTATGAGGCGCACCTTCAATGAATGGCCTATTTTGTCATTTTTTTTCATATATTGGACGCACTGGATTATAAAATGCAATCTACAATGCATCGACTAGACGGAGCTACGCTCCTTCTGTTCGTTCGACTCAAGAGGCGTTCATGACCACCTCCGAAAAACGTAAATTAACGATTATTTCAATGAAACTATGAAAATTGAAAATAATGAATCAAAATAGAAAATCAAGCGAGGAAATCAAAATAAATTCTATCGGCCCCCCCCCCCCCTACAAAACTTATTTAATAAAGCAGCAACACAGTTCACTCAACCAACAGCAAGTTATAACATTGTAAGCATGTCTCCAGCAAGGAGCCATCTTGGGGTCGACATATTACCGTAATGACCATACACAAGGCACACCGGATTTTAAGGCACGCTTTTAAGAAAATGGAAGACTTTTCGGTGCGCCTTATAGTGTGGAAAATACGGAATATTATTTTGGATTTGTTTTGTTACGCCGTTTAGAATTAAAGTTACATTTAATGAATTCATCTCTGAGAGTGTCTGTTAAAGCTCATCACTATCTGCACACTTCTCATGCTGCATCTATTTGGATCTTGGAGGGGTACCGGACGAAGAGTTGAGTAAATGCGCTTTCTACCTGACAACGCACTGAAGTAAATTCCCTCTTCCTCGTGTCTTTTGTCATCCTCGTCATCCTCGTGGGATGATGAGCCGCCAACATCCCCGGTGTGGTCCCACTCTAACGGCAGCGAGTCGACGCTCACCGGCGTCTCCCGCCCCGACTGCTCCAGCGGAAAGGCCAGCGAGTGGGAGGGTGTGGCCGGCAGGCTTCCTTGACCCCGCCCGAGCCAGGGCCGTCCGATCAGCTCCAAGCTCGACTCCATGGAAAAGCTGACGCCAGGGATCTTCGGTTCTTCCGTGATCACCTGCGTCCAAAATCGATTTCTACAGTTCCCGTGATGCCGTCCGACAACCTAACCTTTTGTCATTCCAAAGATGAAATACGACACAATTTTACAACTGATAAAAATGGGGCTCACCGGCGGCTGGCTGAGACGTTGATGGAAGCGAACCAGTCGGCTGAAAACCTCCTGACAGTAGGAATGAAGCTCCTCCAGTTCTTCTTCTATCAACGCGGCATCCTGCGGTGAACTCTTCTGGATGAGACTTTCTCCAAACACGATCAGCCCATCAATGCGCTCCGTGTTGAGGATGATCTCCTTCTGGAAACTCTGCACGAGCAAAGACGAATGAAAAACGTCGCATGAAATATTTTCAAAGACAAACGGGCCAGACTTGTCATGTTTCAGGAATATCGAAGCAAGTCAAATCCTTTCAGGAGTTTGAGCCAAGCAAGTCCAAAGTTGATACAAGCATGACCAGAGTCCTTCCATCACGTGACAACTAATGAGCCACAAACGATTCTTTTGAAATTAGCACGGTGGTCCATCCACGGAACTCACACTAAGCCGTTGTATCTTGTGATGAACGTCGCTCTCAGAAAAATGCTCCACGTTGGTCAGCTGCAGATCCAGTTCCGTCAGCCACACCAACATGCTTTCGCGAGTGCCCTCAAATTCTTCTCGCTGACTGGTAAAATGCTGCAAGAAGGAGAGCGGAAGAGGAAGGATCGGATGAAGAATCAGCTCATCTTCAGACTCTCGCCATCAGCTTTGGTCTAGACCCGTACCTTCAGTCTGCGGAGGACGGCAGCCACCCGCCGGTGTAGAACGTACCAGCGCCGGTTGCCCTCGTGGACCATGGCTTTCTGCTGGCCGGCACGGTCCGTACGGTTCTCGCGGGCCAGCCGGCGGTACTGGTTGTTGATGAGTTCTAACTGGGTCAGCCTCTCATGCAACTGCCTTTGGAACCTCTGAAAGATATTGTACCGTTATGCGATGACGACGTTTTATCCGAAACTGTTCATTCTAATGAGACCCAATTGGAAACGTTGCGTCAAACACGCGAGTCCTCTCCTCAACTTGCCTCAAACTTCTTCAGCTCCTCCTTGGCAACAGCGTAAGGAACGTCTCCCGAGTTGGGGTTGGCGGCGGTCTTCTCCGCCGTCTTGAGCCAATCCTCAAACTGCGAATAGTCCTCCAGGAACTTGCACCACAGTCTCCATGTTTCCTCAATCCTACATTGGTGGAGGAAGGGATCAATGCTTAAAATAGAGTGACATTGTACTCATGGATTGTTTTTTTCTTCCCAACATTTTTAATGTTTTTTTTTTTTGTTGTTGGTTTCTGCACTGACTGATACAAAGATGCTCTACTTGAATTCCCACCTGAGTCGCCTGTCGAGAGACATGGCACAGATGGTCCTCCAGCGCTGGTCCAGGCTATGACTGGTTTCCTGCAGGGAGTCACTTTCCGCCTCAATGGTGCCGGCGGCGTCTTCGTCCCTCAGCAAAAGGTCGCACAGGTTGAGGACCGAGGTGACGCCTTCCGTATGCTGCTCGATGTCCCGTTGCAGCTCCTGAATAAAGCACATCGGCGGCAGACGTTGCTTCAGGCCCACCGACGCGCGCGCATTAGAAAGACCTCGACGGCCGCGTGGGCCAACCCCTTCCAAAATCAAACAATGGAGTTATCTCAATTCATGATTAATCTAAAAGACGGTCAAGGAATATGGTGTGCGTGCGCTACCTGCTGCTCAGCCAGCCTTCTCTGTATCTCCTGGTGATGACAAATACTGTAGGTAATGGGCCTGGACAGGTCGGCCTCCACGCGTGAAAGCCACGATCGGAGGTTGCTCATGTTTTTGTCCAGTTGCTGCACTCTCAAGAGAGTCTCCTTCAACTTTGTCACTCTAAACACACACACGCACGAAACTTCCGAGTTTCCAGCTGTGTCGAATGCAATTTTACTGTGACAAAAGAGATGGGAATAGAGAAAACTCCGCAAAATGGAATCCAGGAAAAAGAGTTTATTTTTAAGGGCTCAAGACTAATACAAATACAACAGAAATGGATCATCTAACCTGGAATTTTAATGAGATTTTAAATTGTTGTTGCAATTAGATTGTCTTTTAATTTTCCTTATTCATTTAGTTTCCTCGAAAGATTGCTCACACGAGGAAAAAAAAAGGGCAAAAATAAGTTTGAAGTATTTTATTTTTTTGCTCCAGCCATAGGACCGTGCAAGCTTTTTTTCCCTACAATCCATGACAAAAAAGTAAACATTTCAAGCAAGGAGGGATTAAAAAAAAATAGTTGAAAAGGTCTCTCTAGTTAATTCTCAGGTGTTTATCATGAGATCCCCCCCACAGTCTCCATGGCAACAGACCCCCTGACTGCTGTCATGGTAACGCTTGGGACAATAGAAGCTCTCCCCTTACGACTTTAAAAGCCTGAAGTGTGTCCCACTGGGGAGTTGAAGTTAATTCCACCCCCATTTGATCCTCTCCCTCCTGCTGAGGACCATCCAGGCCGGTCAGTGTGGAGATGGGGATGCTCTCAGTGCATATAATGAATACAAAAAAAAAAAAAAAATTAAGCCTGAACGGTTCTGGCCTCAAGGAGGAAACCTTAACTGCAATGGGCTCCACTTGTATACTGCTTTTAACTTCAATAAATACTGATCGCTATGGATAGATGAGTGCACATCTTTTCAGCCCCCCCCCCCCACACACACACACACACCATAGGGTTGACATAATTTGCCGTTTAAACTCATTCAGGAGTTGGTTAAACAAAGATCAGAGCTGTACACCCAGACCACACACTGCCTGGAGGTGACATTTCAGGCTTAAAACGGCATAGTCGGTGTAAATTCCCCTCCGCAGTCCACTAAATTGTTTCTTGCGCTCACTTGCCCTATCTAACTTTAGACAGCTCAACAAAAGCCAGAAGCTTAATGCGGGAGCTGAACAAAGACACAAAACCTCGGTCAGGGCTCCACCGGAGAAGGACAAGAGCAGAATGGGTGGCAGGGGGTGGGGGGGCTGCAGGATCAAGTGAGGATATTTGGGTGGTGGACAAAAGTTTAACAGGAGGGTTTGAGATTAGAGCTAATTGTTGAAAACATTGCGTTAATGTACGCACACTAGATAGCTAGCTAGATAAAAATCCTCAAATATCAGTTCAAATTTTGCAGCATCCGATTGATTTACATTCTGCACAACGTTATCCAAGGATGAAATAAATTCGACTGCATTGAACGCGTATCAATCTCAGAGCTGGGACTGTTTGGACAGTGGAGTCAGTGTGTCCAATCATGGTACCGATATTTTACCCTCTCGGTGTTGAACGACGTGCGAAATGTAAACAAACGGACATCGAGCATCTTAAAAAGAGACGAGTAGTATTTCTGGTTGGTTGTCGTCCATTTACAAGTCACCGAGTTCCTGCTTGGCTAGAAAAGAGCTCACGAGACAATGCCAAGGAATGTTTGGGCGACTTTCAGTTCCAAACAATGCGTCATTGTTGCTGTCCATATTTTGGCAAGGGTGTCCCCCTAGAACGCTCTCGTGGAATCGTGCTTTCGGGATCAACTGACATAATTGATGCTGACAGACCACTCCCCTTCTCCTACCGCACCCTCCCCCCCTGACGGAGCAGAGATGGAGGAGGGTAGTCGGTGAGGACATGAGGACATATGGCTCTGTCTGAGATCCGAGCAAAGTTTTGTGTTTTTTTTTTCTTCTTCTTGTTGGCCGAGTGTGTAGAGCGATCGGGGGATTCAAGCAGCTGCTCCTGCACAACAATGTCTTGCGGGGGTCTCCTTTATGATTATGGGGCGGGGCTTAACCTGCTTTGTGAACATTAGAAGTCATGGATTCCTGACAGCTGGAAAGCAGAGCGAGCAACAGCAGGTGGATAGGCTCAATTTAGAGCAATCGTGCCTATTAGGCAGGTTTTTTTTCCGCCTTGCTAAAATTTAGCCAGTTCTGGGAGGCGGTGCTGACCCAGGGAAATGAGCCATTAGGATTTTTGGGCCATTGGAGTCATGCTATAGTGAACGTTGAGTGCGCAGATTCAGGTTGTTTACTCACCTGGCCTCGATGTGGCTGAAGAGTTTGTGCCATCTCTGGTTAACCTCTTGCAGGGAAGCGCGCACTTGGGTCTGCTTGGCCTCGTCGCTGGCTAACAGCAGCTGCTCTCCGAGGTGCTTCAAGTGGCTTTTATTCTCACTGAACAAATTGATTTCCTCCATGCAATCCTAAAAAAAGCAACATTAGAAAAAATATTTTTGTTTTTCCAAACCGCATTCGGTATGAACACTTGATGTGGACACAAATGAATTTGTGATTGAAATCCAATCACATTATCAAAAGATTGAACATGACATGCACCATGATCAATGTTAATCAATGGCAAATTTGACCTCATTTGCCCTTACAAGTGATTATGCGTTGGCAAAGCAAATTTTCTTTCATGAAATAACTCATCAAAAAAGCTTCTTGAAGGGGGCGTAGTAACCAAAAGACAGTTTAGCAAATAACAGAACCACAACTCTCCATGTGTGCCAATTCCGTTCTCTCACCGTATCCAAGATGACAGACCTTCAACTTCAGAAGGAACTATTTTGATGCAGACGCCTCGTGATGAGACACCAAGGTGCAAAAGGCTCTGTTCTGTCTCTCCAAATTACCTTTTTCAGCTTTTCCACCATTTCTTCGATGCTGAGATCCGCGCTGTGGCAAACCTTGCTCTCCATCTGGGTGAGCCAATCGCAGAACTCTTTGTTTTTGTCATTGAAGATCGTCCAGGCGTTGAGGCGGTCAGCAATTTCTTGCTTGCGCGAGGACACCTGGGAAAGTGAAACGTGAGGCTCGGAGTGCACGCGGCACAAACAGAGCTCGGAAAACACTTTGCTGTCAAATGTTTCAGGCGTAAACGTCACACGGAGAACTGGAGCAGGTTGCCCCTTAAGATAAGCAGAAGTGGTTTTACGCCGCCCGAACAAATATTGCCCAACTCTGAAATTGATTACATGGTAGAATCTTCGCGGTAACGCAACTCAAAAATGGTGCGCGAATGATGAGAGGTGATGTCACCCAAGCAAAATGTCAAACCGATAACTTGACTCCAGGACTATAAATCACACTGATGGCGTGACAACAATCCCAACATCCTACGAAACGATGCCCCGTGGTAGACTAGGGATGACATCGTTGTAAAGCAAATGGATTTTTTTTTTCTTCTTTTGTGCGGCGATGCCACGACATCATTGCTGCGTCATTGCTTTTGTGTCTCTGATCTTTGATCTGTTTACATATGGTATTTTGGAGTCACCATTTGGTCCCGCCTCCCCCCAGAAAAATTTAAGAAATGTCCGATTATGAATACACATTTTGATCGTTGATGGAAATCTGTTGATCAACAGCAATATCGGTCAGTTTGATTAAAATGATCATGTTCCATTCCACGTGAATCATTTCATTTAATCTCTCAGTCATCAATGGGGTGGGGCGGGAAAAAAACTTGAGTCTGGCTGATTAACAAGGTCCATTTTCCTCATGACAGCTTAAGGCCCCCTAAACGGAGGTCAAAAGCGTTTTTTTTTTTTTTTTGTTTTTTTTTTGAAAGGACTACATTTTATCGTTAGGTGGCATTTATTTAGTTCAAACAAGTCCTGGTTGTGTTTTAACACACAATTTGTGGCTCTCCTGGACCCTTGACTACTAAGGAGGCATTCAGAGCCGCTGTCAGCCCTGTGAGGAGTCGATTCTTTCCAGTGACAACAATGGACGCTGCCCCCTGAATCACTTGAGCCCAGCCGAGCCATCTGGTTGTCGGAGCCATTCCAGTGGCTCCCCCCACCCCGACATGCAACCTGCAAACTCGATGGCAGGGACTTGTAAGGCTCTGAAACGAGCCGCCCGGAGGTCGCATGGTAATTGACAGACAGAAGTTCTTCAAATTCAATGCCGCTTGCAGAAATGTAATGAGATTGCCGCGACGCCAACCTCATTCAAAGCGAGCTCATCTATAATTGCGGAAGTAAGACGGTAAACAAGTCCTTCAGATCTTTTGAAGACAAAACTTGGAACGGTGCGGATGGCCCACTACACCGTTTGGAGGTCTCAAGAGCACCAATCAGGAAAAGAAAACCCCGATAATTGGACAGCGTGTCCTGCTGCATCTGTGAATCCCGCTCACGGTTGCCAAGGTGCGGCAGGTGACGGCATCCATTTTCAAGTGGAGACCCAATTAGTGCCAGCGTAAGTCATCGCACAGGGATCTTTGTTCGCGGACGCGATGACATAACGGTGGGCTTTTCAAGAACAAGAGCGTGTTTGTGTTTGGGCCAAAAGATTTAAATGTCGGAATTTGACCCCCGCATTCATACTGAAGGAGAGCAAGTTTCACTAAGGTTGCACGCACAGAATCAGCGACGCGCCACGTGATTTAGTCAGCAAGCAGGTTGAGCTCGTTAAATGCTGAAAGCCGCGGTAAAAATTTTGGATCAGACTGAAAAAATGGTCAGCATTTTTATTGTTGAAAGTTTCCCGGGAACCGTTTTAGGAAAACAAACAAACATTTAAACTTTTATGCTAACTGGGGAATACATCAAATTGCCAGGCGGCTTTTTGAATGAACCACAAAAAGTGGGCACTTAAATACTGAGAGCTGCCAGGGAAAAATAAAAAGATAGGAGAGGCTTTCATTTTGATGCTGAAATCTGTCAGTCAACGGATTGGGCAGAAAAGTCGTCAAAACTTTTCAGCTGAAAACTACTAGCCAACTTGGACGAGGTAACTGTCTTTTCAGTCTGAACTTTTTTGTCGTCGTCAGGACTAAAATCCTTCGACCAAACATTTTTGGGGGTCCAAAACGGACAGTGCGGTCCAAGTGGATGAGCTGCAAAGAACAAAAAAAGTTGTTCTCCCTTCACACACATGAGCACTTATCACCCAAATGAGCGCGTGAGGGCATTGCGCTGCCGCTGACCGCCAAGACACCCCTGGAATCAAATTTGCCCTCCTCCCGCACCGACACGACGGCCTGTTTGCAGCTGCTGTGCGTCCTCACCTTGGCGCAGAGTTCATCCCACTGGATGTGAAGTTGCTCCAGTTGCTGTTCCAGCAGAGCGGAATCGGCCAACGCCACGTACTGGGACAGGTCGGTCTTCATGGAGGCCAGGTCTTTCAATCCACCGGCGAGACGGTGCAAAGAGAGGTCCGTCTTCTGCATCGCACAAAGGCGGACAGACAGGACACACACACACGCACACGCACGCACGTGTAAAAACGGTCACCCGGCCATAAACAAGCTGTGTCCGCGCACTTTCTGGCTCCTGTTCGCTCCGGCCGTTCGGATTAAAAGGATGGGACAGGGGGAAGGGGGGGATAAAGGGGGTCGGGGGCTAAAAGGGGGAGGGGAGCAAAGCCATGAGGGCATTTAATAAGGGAAAGGGGGGGCGGGTAAACTCAAAGTACTCAAAGTATAATTGGAGGGAGCTTGAGCGGAGGGACTAATGGGGGACTTTGCAGCTGTATACCACCACTTATCACTTTTTAAATTTATTTTCAATCATAATTCAAGTTAAGAATAAGTTTGTGGAAATCAGAGTTCAATTTTCATTTTCGTCACTCCTACAGCCCCTTTCGGTAAACTCAACTATTAAGACCGAAAGCATTTGCAGCAGTCTGATCTCACGTAAATCATGTGAATGGAAACGTACAATCAATATTTCGACAAACGCATGCTGCTATTGCGGTATAATCACCCGAACGAGCTCTTCCCCAGACGCATCAGTCGTCGCGGGCAGCGGCCTCTTCAGCTGGGTTCTCAGCTCATCCACTTCACACATTCTGGCCTTTATCTCATCCTGACACCGCGACCAGTTCTAAGAGAAGCAGAAGTGGAGTGAAAGCAACGCCTAGAGGAGTCTGAATACAAATTATGACGCGGGATTAAAAGTGGATTTGTAGCATTTGCAAAAGACAAATCAAGCTCATTTCTATTTTCCTGACAAATGGCATTTCTATATGCTTTGCATTTTTCAGGAACTACCGCGATGGAATGAAAGGGCGGCCAGCGGTAGCCCCAGCTGTCTCTGGATGTGGATCGGAGATAGATTTGAGCTGTACTTTGATCCCTGTTGGCAGGAGCTTTGTGCTAGGACTCACGCCATGCCCGAGTGTGAGAGTGCTCGTGTGCGTGCGTTTATGGTGGGATCAGGGTCTGGATATGGGTCAGGCAAAGCTGACCCCGCCCCTCCCCCCTCCCCCTCTCCTACCACATCAACACTGTCACCCTCACTCGTTACAGGATGTGGATTCTGTCAATCCAGAGCTTGCATCTATTCTTATAAAACTCCATTCGGGATGATGACAACGCCGCCGTTTGGCTCTTCAAACGATAAACGTCAGATGTCTAACCTCACCGACTGCAAAGAGCGGGCCATGTGTGGGCGGTAGCCCTCACATGTAAAGGTACTTCACTTCTTGCCCAAAGCAATTTGACTGCCCTCTAAAATGCCATGACGTGAAAGGCTAAACACTCAGGAATGCTCAACTGAATGTTCATAACACCACTGACGGGTTGAATTACTCTCGCAATTACCTGAACAGTCGTGCTGACCAGGGTTCTCCTTTTTTGGACCAGTGAGTTAGCGTGTTTCCAGGCCCCTTCTACGGCCTGAATTTCCAACTCGAGTCGACTCCGACTGTCCGAGTCTGACGTCGTCTCACACAAAAGTCGACCCGCCTCCAAAGTCTCCGTGAGCATGGATGAGTGGCGCTCCAGAGCTTCATTTAGACACTGGAGCAGATTTAGAGAGACATGTTGAATGGCGACATTAAATAATCACCAAGGAGCTTCATTGGAAAAACAGCGCTTTACAAGATCGGTGCAGTGGTGATAAGGTCTCACTATAAAAAACATACCTGGCACTGGTCTGCAAGTTGCGGCGATGTGAAAGGCAATAGAGTGAGTGAAGGGTGAGCAGAGGACAGCAGGCTTTCCACACTTCTCAGCGTCTTGCCCAGAAGCTTCATGCCACATTTATAGATCCTCCACTGGTGGATCTGTTCACCAGTCGCGGCCCGGTGCTGGCCGGCCAGCAACAAAGACCTGAACCACCTCCCTCGCAGATGGAGCGCTTGTGTCAGGAGCTCAGATCTGTGGCAGAAGCAAAAAGTTTCATTTGGTACGAAGGCCCACAACAAAAAGCGCGCGCATAAAGGGCGGACTGCTGCGCAGCACATCTATCCAATATAGTCCAATTGTTGAGTTGGATGATTTTAAAAATTATATAATCAGGGTTTTACAATCAATGGCTCAACGTGATGACTTTTCTCGTTAAAAAGGAACCCATAAAACATGAATAAAACAGCCGAAAACAACACGGGTGTCAGTCATAGTTCCTTTGACCAATTGCCAAATCAGCATAACATCAGTCGCATTTTACGACCGTTAACAGCCTTTGGCACTTCCACCAAGCAGAGGAGAAACAAACTTTCCTTTCGACCTCACTGATAATCCTTGGGCTGTCCAAGTATCAAGAGACCACAAACAGAATTTATGGGAGGATCAAGGAGAGGGACATTTAGCTCTTCCAAGACCGGAAACATCTGCAAATTACTACATTTTGTCGCATTGGCGAGTATCCAGTGTATTATACCCAACAAGCGAAAAATCAAATGCAGCTGGTAAACTGCAGATCACTTCATTTTATTTTATTGACGACGGTATCTGACCACACAAAGGCTAGCTTCTCTCACTGGCAACTGGCATGTACCGACCTCGAATTGAGGAAGCCTATGTCATATAATTAGGAGTCAAAGTACTCCGCATATGCTTTAGGTCATTATTAATGTTGCTTTCACAATGTTATCATGGCCGTTGACCCGAAAACTAGAATTTCGCTTCATAGAGGCAGGGGTTTTCGTGCCCATACAGGTTCTGGGAGCAACGTACGCTGTCATCCAAGTAACGTCTTATTCAAGGACATTCCTACACTTATTTCAGCAAGACTGCCAAGCCATATTCTGCACGACTTACAGCATCATAGTAAAAGCATGCAAGTACTCGACTGGGAATGCCAGCAGTCCAAACCCGTCTCCCATTGAAAATGTGTGAAAATACAGCAAAAAAAGCAACTCAAGTTGCACATCAAGCCAGAATGGGAAAGATATTCCACCCGCAAAACTTCAACCATTACATCATTGGAGGAGGGAGACGTGTTAAACAGGCTGGATAGGGGCTTTAGGAGCAGGCCTTGGCACCCCTGCACCAGAATATTGGCGGACCAGCCTGGAAACATGTTGTGCTAGCTGATCAAGTAAGTAAAGATAATTCCTTGCTGCTTTATTTGTTGTGGAGCCCTGAAGAGGAAACAACAAAACTGAGAAAGTGTTGCATGCTTACCGGTAAGCTGCTTATCTGATCCACATAAAAGTTAATTAAAAAAACAAAACAACTTAATTGTTCTGTCACTTACTTTTCGTCTGATTTTTGTTTTTCCATGGACTTGATTGCATTACAGAGAAGATCTCGCAGAAGCTCTTGTCCAGTAATCATTTCAATCTGACGCCTCTTCATGGATGGGAGACAACACAGTACAGTAATGACAAAGCTATTACGGTTCATGATTATGTTGGTTAAAAACGACCGAGTAATCATTTCAATCTGACGCCTCTTCATGGATGGAGACAACACAGTAATGACAAAGCTATTACAGTTCATGATTATGTAGCTTACAAACGACCAAGTCTCTTTGGGATACGGCAGTTGTCTGCCGCACGGCGAAGATTTCATATCCAGAGTTAACATTCATCTGCAGTTGCTAAAGGCTGAATGAGATTTCCATCAAGAAAGTTCATCTAGAAAACGCACGTGCCACAGCTTTCACTTTTTCATTGCAGAGACTTGAGAGCTGCAAGAATGAAACTGGCCTCTTGGCAAACCATTCTTAATTTTTTGGATAAAATGGTCACAAGTTTCATTTTTATAATGCAGTACTTTGCCAAAATGCCTTTCAAGGCCATGAGGTGAATGATAAAAAAAAAAAAAAAAAATCAACTATTCTGTCAATCAAGCCAAGAGGCCTCATGAATCTTGTGCATCAACCACCAACTCGTATTAGCCTTTCGTAGTCGCTAACTATACACAAGTTGTAGCTCTTGCTAGCTACCTCGCTTGTGCGAGCGTCCACACGTGCCCACATTGGCACATTTAATTTGATGATCTTTCGTCACCACTCTTGATGCTTTCATGCAGAGACTTACTACTTGAGGTTTGTTTTGTTTCTGCTGCACATGAACAAAAATGTCCCCTCGCGGGCAATAATGACATCAAGTAACGACGTACCTGATGGACAGCGAGTATCTCTTGGAGGTTGAAGCCACTTGGGGGTTCCGACTCCAGCTCCTCGAGGATGAACGTGAGCTCCTGACACTTCTGATGAAAGTCTTGGGACCGCCGATGTTCACGCTGAAGCGTTCTGACAAAACAGCATTCACACAAATGGAAAAAGGAACACACTTTTGCACCAACCGCTATTTTAGAGCATGCAATTGGACTTGCTACCCTCCACAAGCGCCATGAGATGGTGCGCTGTCACTTCTCTCACCTGTACAAAGAACACATGCGATTCACACCGTGGGTCCATTTTTTGCCGAGCGCGTGCAGCGCGTCTTTCTCCGGCTTGTCGAGGGTCACGTAGCCGCTCAATTCGCTGATATCAACCAGTGACGGAAGCAGTTCGATAAGTTTCAACAGCTCCTGCTATTCAGCCAAGTAAGAAAGCAAGGTTTGAAGAACAGATGATGGAAAAAAAAAAGAATAAAAAGAACACCTTAATTAGCAACTACCGCTCTCGGCAAGCACTCAAACCAACCTTCACAATGTCTTTGTCATTCATGTTCGATTTCTCTCCATGCAGTATGTTTTGTGTCTGCTGCTCAAGGGCTTCCAGCTGCGTGCAAAATAGTTTGTAGTTGTCTAAATCTTCCTGCCAAAAGAAACGGGCCAGAGTGAGCGCATGTGTGGCACAGTCAAGAGGTTCTCTGTTCAAACCCCTTTGTACTTTTCTACGTCAGTTTACCCAACTTCCGATGGACACCGTTGCTCCCCGGACAATACCTGAAGGCTTTGCTTTGTGTCTGACATGGCCTGGTTCAGCAGGAGGCCCTCAAGCGACAGTCCCACGATCTCCGATTGGACCAAATTTTGGATGCGTGGTTTGAGACGTCCACTGAGAGGCTTTGACGAGGCCAGCACATCTGTCGCACTCTTTTGCAGGTCCTCGGCAAAATTCTGTAATTTCTTTCCATTGATAAAAAATGATAAAAGGTCAACGGAAAGAGGAATCTATTAACAGCAGTGTGGGGTGGGGTGGGGTGGGGGGGAGTTCAAAACCTTGCTGACACTGGTGACCAGGGCACATTTGATTAGAGTACCTTTAATAGCATAACTGACAATGCATTTCAAAACTAAGTCCTCATATGTTGCTGAATTCATTCCGTGAAAAATACAAAACACTGAAGCATGAATGGTTGGGTCCAAAGTCCAACGTTAGAAGGGGGATGTGGAAAATGTGAAAGTTTGGAGCCAATGTCCCTCAAGCTTGTTTTTCAAAACAAGCTCTAATGCAGCCTGTGGATCGTACAAAATAAGGCGAATCAACGTAACGCAGCCAAACGAGGAATAACAGCCACGAGTTCATCCCGCTGTAGCGGCCTAAGTGCATGATGAATCAAGCGGGTTATTCAATCATTCTTTAGAGTGAAATACAAGAAAAAGATTTGGGGCCAGGGGCCGCGGGGCCGGGGGATTTGCACTCTGACCATCCACCTGTTTGTCCGTAGAAATAATCCAACTTGCATGTTAAAAGGGACATTTCAGGCTCTCCGATGAGTTTGACAAATGAACGTGAACTGCGTGAACTCACCTCTGCCGAGTGAACCGTGACCTGCGGCTCCTGTCGAGGCGAAAAGGAGGACAACTGACGCCGAAGGTGTTCCAGCTGAAGGGAGCCCTTATCAAAGGTACGATTATACTGCTGCCAGAGGGTTCGGGTCTCGTCAGTCTTCTGGCGTTCTCCTTCCAGATTTTCCAACATGTCCTCCCACCTGGAACAAACAAAGTAACTTTGGATTTATAACTTGAAAGTAAACTCCTATGTCCTGCACATATGAGGAGGGGGAAAAAAAAAAAAAAAGCTTGACAGCCTTCTGTGAAGGAAATAAAAGTCCAGAAGAGTCACCAAAATCACTTACATTAAAATAAAAGTTACATTAATTCAAAAAAATATTTTGTTGAACGGATGGAAGGGATAGGATGAGTACGTCCACGCTATACCGACCGCTTTTGCGCTTGTTCTATTCGATCATTGAGTGACCGGGCTGTTCCAGCGTCGAGCGTCTTCAAAAGAATCGGAAGAGATTTGTTGATGTCGACCCAAAGCTTCTCCCCTTGTCTGCACATCTCCTGCAGTTGCTGCGCACAGGAAATAATCTTTTGTCTCATCATGCCAGCTGTCTCTCAAAGCATTTGGGATTTTACACAAGAAAAATAACTGCGAGTCATGACATGTGACACATGTACAGAAGGCCCTTTGGTGCTCACCTGCAGTAGCTCCAAATAACTTTCCGTCTGCTTCGGTGAAAACAAAAGTGCTCCGTAAAGCTGCACGGTAAAGTGTACCCTGCCGGTGTGCAGGGAAACCTCCCGCAGATTTTTCTCCAGACAAGCCCATTCCTGGACGGTTTGCTCTAAAATTGGCTCCAAAGCCCGCATCTGAGAATCAGCACACAAAAAAATTTGTGTTTTCTTTTCCGCCTTGAATTAATATATTTCTATTCTTAATATCCATCAAATTATATTTTCCGGAGGGCGTGTTTTGGAAGTGCAACAATCAGTTCACTGAACAATGACTCAGTGGGATTAATAGCGTCATTATGAATGAGGCAACGGTCTTTTGTTATTGTTATTTCCCTGCTCTGTGGAAATGCTTTGGTAAAGTCACATTAAATGTTATGACTTCATTTATTATTGTTGTCTATAATTGATGTTGTGAACTCATCCGCTTCGCCTCATTAGGGTCACTTAAGTATAATCGAGGAAAAAAAAAAAAAGGATCAGGAGCCTTCTTGTCTAAAGACAGCTAGTATAGGCTACAGCACGCTTGCGACTCGTGAGGAGAGATTGTCCAGAGAATGGTTGCATGGATGGATGGATGGAAAGGAGTCTGAAAGAATAAAATGTAAAGAACTCATTCATCATTTTACAGTTAATCTTGCTGAATCTCTCGAAAATTCGGGAGGATCTTGCACATAATACACCGTCAATATACTGCTGTGCCAAGACATTTTTTTTTGTTCAACTCTGTCATTGACATTTTCTCATTTTGTGTCCTCCCAACTCTTCCGAACACCTCAAAACGTATCATTAACATTGATGTTCCCTTTCTACCTGCTGAAGGAGATCCTCACAAGCGAGACCGACAGTCTCAGCCTGCTCACAAAAAACGACATCACACAGATGCTCCTTTTCAACAAGCACATGCGTGGATTTCACCCCCTGCAAAGCTGTGGCCACCTCCTTTATTCTTCCGAGAACAGCCTGGAAGGGGGGAAAAAAAAATCCAAGACTATCAGATTTAAAGAGTGGCGCAAATAACCTGTAACTTGCATCCCGTCTGCATACCTCCCACTCCTGCAGAACCTTTTGAGCTTGCGTTTGACTGGTTGGATGTTTCCACTGATTAAGACGCTTTTTCTGCTGCTCAACGGCCCGACGGAGACGCTGCAACTGTCTTTCTCTGGCAGCACAAGCGTATTGCAGCTCTTGATCTCCATGAATCTGCACAAGAAATACAGTATGCAAAGTATGGCAACGGTAGGAAATGGAACAAATTTTAAAATATTGAATACGGTAAATCCTAGAAAGACTTTAAAATTATTTTATTGGTTTTAAAAACATGGATGACATAAACATGGCCATGATGAGGGAGCTGCGCAAGATCCTAGAAGAATCCTTCCCGGAGTGTAAGGAAGGCATGGCAAGGAAGCATTAAACTTGTAGTTTAGATTTGCATCTTTTTGTTGAGGCCTGCAACCTTTCTGACATACCTTGTAAGATCCATTCAAATACTTTAAAGACACTTTCCGTGCAGGAGTTTCATGGCAAGTTACTTACAGTACAATATAAAGACCCAACACGTTCATTGATGCACAATAATATATAGAAGGAGCAGAAGCGTTCAGAAACAACAACAAAAAAAGCGACCTGGTTCTCCAACGCCCCCTGCAGGTGAAGCCAATGTTGCCTGAGGGCTCCGAGTTGCTCCGCGTACATTGTTCTCTCTGCAAGACGAGCCTGAACATCCAATTCCATCACCTGCGGGCGAGTTTGGGACAGGAATTCCAGAAGAGGCTGCCCCTTGACTAAAGACATCCTTAATGCCTGGAGGGAGAAAAAATAGATATATAAAGTTTTGAGTCCAGTTGTGCATGCAACATTTGATTAGATGTTTTTGTAGAACGTGCTTTTCAGACAGCACTGGAACAACTAAGGCTTGTAGGGAGGTGACGCTCGCACACAGTAGTATCTTTAAAGATGGAGCTTTCTTCATTGAATGCTTCGTCACAAAAAGTCTGCGTCTTTAGATCTAGTTGCTGGAAATAAACCTGATGATGGGACAGTGAATTGAATTCATTCTGAACTAGACCGGCTGATAACAAAGACGGATGTGGAGCTCGACAGCTTGGGCGTACCAGGAAGCGCTGCAGGCTTCTTCTGATCCGAGCGGCGTCTGTGGCCTCGTGGACTTGTTCTCTCGCCTGCTCCAGATGGACCTCCAAGTTCTTGAGCCAATCCTCCAAGTCAGACAGCAGCGTCATCGGTGGCCACATCTGGAGCAGCTCCTGATTACACAAGCAGCACCAATTTATGTAGTAAAATTGTCTCAGAATAAACCGGTAATGTAATCAAGTGTTGAAAAGCTGGGTTTGTAGTCATTGGTGATGAATGGGCGTGAGAAATTAAAGGCGTCCTCCCAATTCTTGGACTGTATTCTCAGTCGCGGCACAACTGAAGTGATTCTCACTCCCTGGGCTGGACGGGATCACCAAAATCCTCATTATATTTGATAAACGGCCACCTTTGAAATCTCCTTATTTCAATGACGTGCTCAAGTCTTTTGGGGTCCAAAAGAGAGACTCGCTGATGCCACATGAGTTGAAAATCAATATATCTGGTTGATTTATTGTATATAAATCTCCTTATTTCAATGACGTGCTCAAGTCTTTTAGGGTCCAAAAGAGAGACTCGCCGATGCCACGAGTTGGAAATCAATATATCTGGTTGATTTATTGTATAGAAATATGAACAACGTGTTCGCGTGCAGTCATTTGTACCTTTTGCAGCCGGTCTTGTGCACTGGTCAGGTCAGAGGTGAGCTTGCACCAGGTCATCTCCAGCTTTGTGAGGCTCCCTCTCAGGCCAGGACATTCCGTTTCCCTCAGACGAAGCAGTCGAGCGGCTTCTCCGGAGGCGGATTCCTTGCGAGCAGACATGGTCTCCATCTCTATAGAGAAGTCCTGCAGGAGGAGTTTAACCTCAGTCAGAAAATGCTCATTTTAAATGGATTTAAATGAACATTTAAATGGGATCAATGTTGCTGTTTGGTCCTCCGTACTCTCTGCTCTAGATAAAAACAACATCTTAATCCCCATTCTCATGCCCACCACAAGTCTAGCGTTAAATTCAGTCTAATTTTTCTTTCTTTTGGTATTTTCATCGATGGGCGCAGCTAGAAAGGGGGAGTTTGCGCTGTTGTGGGAGTGACCACTGGAAGTGGCTCCACTCATTCCCTTTAAACTTCACACAGGAGAGGCACTCACGGCTCCACCTGCATTTCGATCAAATCCACCAAGATCGCGTTCCAACACCTGCGCCACGACTTGGACCTGTTTTTATCTCGTCTAAAGTCAAGTCTAGTTTCTGCCACGCGAGTCAGCGGCCTGTCATAGAAAACACCCAGCGAGGTGTCTGATAAATTCAGACGCTAAAACGAAGGTGCGCCAGTTTTTATACTGTACTTGTAATTGCAATTCCACAACTATAGTCACAAATGACGGATCTCCAGAGGATTTCTGAGTTACTTGCAACTAGTCAGACCTCAGTTGATGTACTTGGTATCGATCAGTCTTACCAACAACCTGATCAGACCCTTGCAAACACTCTCCTGGCTCACGTGAGAGGCATCAGTGAGTTCTGAGCAAATCGTCAGGCGTTCGTTGGCATCATGGAGCCATTTACTGACAAGGGAAAAGTCTGTCTGGAATCTGTGGGGAGGACAAATGTAACAAACACACACACACACACACACAGGCATCTCAGTTAGTGAAGCAGAACATGAGTCTTCTCTCCTAAGTGGGAGGAGAGGACAGGGGTTTCGGTCCAATACTGATAACAGAACTTTCTTTTAGTGATATCATGCATGTTCCAGATGAATCCACTCGATACAGTATTCGTAAACAACAAAGAAAAGCAAAAGAGAAATCGCCAACCCGGTTGAAATGATAGGATTGTTTTGAGATGAAAAGTATGGCATGCTCCCACAGGATGACGTGATCTAATGCCGTCATTAGTTGGAGATTTTCTTTTGCTTCCAGGCAGAACACGTCAGCGGCGTGACCTAGTGTTACGACGTCCGTCTCACAGTCGGGTGATCGGGGTTTGAATCCCCATCGGAACTCTGTGTGGGGAGGGCATCTTTTCTTCTCTCTTTCCCACATGCCGAAGGGCTTTTGCCGTGTACAAAGATACAATTACAAGTACGCATGGGAAGGGAAAAAAAATTTAAAAACATACCTACAAGTGCCCCAAATTGTGAGATTCACGAGTGAGGAGCCGCAACTTGCTCGATTCCCCCCCCCGCCCAACATACAATACGACAGCTGCTGTTGTTTCTTGGCTTGACTCGATGTACACTAATTACATTTTATAAAAGTAATTTCCTTATTTACATTCTCGTTTCTTGGCTTGACTCGATGTACACTAATTACATTAGAAGTAATAAGTAATTTACTTATTTACATTCTTTTTTTTGCAGGGCTGAAATGGATTAATGGCATTCCAGTTAATTTCAATGGAGATTATTCATTTGATAGACAACTAAATAGAAAAAAAAAAATCATTTTACGCTATCCTGTACCTGACCCAGCCGTCCGACGCGTCACTGTAGCGCCGAAGCTCTCGGTCCATGCGGCTGCTGATGCTTCTCCATCGCAGCTCCAGAGCACCCCCTGTCTGTACGGCCGAAGGCGCAAATAAAGGATCCGTCTGCAGCTCACATCTCTGATCCACGAGCTGTCCCAGGAGAGCCCGGTTCGCTTCCAATTGGACCAAAGTTTGCTGCGCGAAAAAGAGAATTAACAGTGCTCTTCGCCAGCAGCTTCAATCCCAGCATTCAAATAGACACCAAGGCCAAGCGTTAACACGGTCGTATGATCATAAAACTGCAGGAGTCCTGGGCAGCAGTGGAAGGGAATTTTAATTACAAAATGAACTGCAAAGTGTCGCTGATCACCTCCTTGTTTTTAACGGACCGGCTGCTCGCTTACCTGACAGGCACGTCGCCGCCGTTCTATGTGGGACTCCTCATTATCCTCCGCCGCTTCCGCACCACCGATACAGACTTCAAGCTCGTCCAGCAGTCTTCCCAGTCGACCGCAATTATCCTCCCAGCGGTTCCACTCCTGCAGTAGGCCCAACCAGAGACATTTCGTTCAGGATTGCACACATAAAACGGTGAGTGAAATTGGAAATGCGGCGATTATGGTGCATGAAGAGGGATTCGATAGGGGGAAGATGTGGTCAAAAGACGTCACATTGAATTCAAAGACATCCCCGGGTAAGCCAACTTTGAACTTCATCTGTCTCCCCAAATGCACGAAATGAACCAAGATGTTTTAAAGGCCGGCTTCTTCAAAATGTAGAGCACTTTGTATGGTGTATATCGTTTGGGGAACAACACAGACCAGGAGTCTCCACTGAGATGCCACCTCCTGTTGTAGCAACTCCTGGATCAAAGCTTTGCCCCGAACTTCCAGCTGTGCTTGCTCATCCTCTTGAGCCCCCAGCACATCTGGCCTTCGATGGAATAGATGTTGCGTAAAATTCAGCTGAGCTCCGAGAACCTGAGCGAACTTCTGGATGAAATCAAACGGAAAAAAAAAAAAAAAAAAATCAGTCGATATAACTTCATTAGCCAACTGCGACTACATTTCCAAAATGCGATGAAAGAGACGAGGACCTGGTCTCTATGGAGACGAACGTGTAGCTGGCGAATGTTTTGAACGGGTCTCGCCGGCCCCTCAGCTACGCATCCTTCACCGAGATCCAGTAGGCTACGCATTCCGTGCAGTAAGGACTGGATCGCTTTCTGTATCAGGGCCTTTTCCCCTGAACTCTCTCTCACATGTCTGCCCAGCACACACTGCTGACAGACAAAGATGAATTTTATTTGATTTTGAACGGATACGCCTCCATGAGCCATGAATTGTTTTTCTGCTAGCAGTTGCACCATCATCACAAAATCCAGTCCAAGATTTTTAAATGCATTATAAAATGTGCGGCAGTAGAAATCCACGGAGAGAAAAAAAAATAATTACCTGCAGAATGGAAGTTTCCTTTTGATTTGGGAATATTTCATGATGACTCGGCTGCAGCTCCTCCATGAAACATAACTGGTTGGAGAAGAGCTCCTGAGTGGAAAGTGTTTATATTGCATAACCTGTCTATATAGAGTTCATTGTGTTTATTAATTTCAAGCAGTAAGTGTGGGATAAAATGACAACCATGAATAAATGTACAGACCTAAAATATCACAAAAATGGAAAAACGTCATTCGATCAGCATGGAACGTACACAAATAATTGCCATGCGTGAGAATTTTCAAGTAGAGTATTTCACTGACTTTCAACGAGTGCCCCATAGAGGATTAATTTAACGTCATACAGTACGAGGCATTCAGTAATCTCTCCAAATGTCAATCCAAATTCATTTGGCATTTTAATAAGACGACCAGGAAGCGCAGCTTAAAAATCTTCAATTTCGGGGGCACCCAGTTGCCAGTTATCTGTTAAAGGTCATGAGCACTTCTAAGGTATCCAACCGCGAAGCATTTTGTACCTGATGCTGGCTTTTAAGACCCAGAGAGTCAACGGAGAGTTCGTTGAAAGAGGCGATGACTAACTGGGCAGCTTTTAGACATTTCTGCAGCCACGTTAAACAGCTCAGTTCATCGTCTTGAAGCACGGGACTGATCTTTGACTCGGCGTCACGCAGCAGGCCAGCCAGACTCGCCAGCTCCATTGATACGTACTTCACAGAAATGAAAGATGGAGACCATCAGGGCGCTCGTCGGCGAGACCCACGAAATCATTCCGACGGATTATGTGATTCACTTCGTGCTGTAGTGACTTGAGCTGGGTCTCGTCACCCCCAACACCTCCGGGAGTCGACACAAGGTCGGTCAAAGCGTCCACGCATTGAAGAACTCTGTGTGCCGCAGAGTACAACTCGCCCTTCGTGTCGGGATCATCCGCAGAGCTCACCTAGACAACACATGGCCTATCTTGACAAACACCGCGGCCACTCTTAGTAGGTCCACCCGCAAAGTCTTGATGTTTGTATAGAATGCAAATGCTCTACCTCCCCCCAAAAAAATTGTTAAATGTCAGCAGGCTTCGAGTACAGGAACAGATCTATCTAGAGATATATTTTATATATATTGTAAAGGCATTCGAAAATGTTGCTGGTCATGGACATACGATTTTACTCAGCATGGTGATGGATTCATTTGCATGCTGGAGAAAAGCTGAAGCTGACCCAGTTGACAGCAATTTTCCTTCCAGGACCTAAACAGAAACAGATTATAGATTTTATATACATCAGAGGATTGGTGATTTCCATTGCATGGTGGGTTCCCTTTAAAACAAAGCAATTCGGATGCATTTTGTGTTTTGTTCACTTGCTCACCGTTGCAACCTTGCCATCGACAATCGACATCCGATGCTCCTCCTGAAGTTTTCGTAGGCTTTCCACTTTCTGGGCGATTTGAATGTGAAGCAGGCGCCACTGTTGCTGCTCTGTGTGAACTTCGCTGGATCGGGTCAATCTTGTATGGAGAAGATGGATCGATGTCGATTTCAACATGGATTGTATTTTGGAACGCTCATAAAATTTCAAAGGAGATTTTACATGACGGACATTGCAGAAGGCTTGGAGTCGTGTTGATCTTTTCCCTCTTTGCAATCCCTGATGACGGGTCCACTTGGCTCCTTTAATTCACAGGATAAAATTGAGAAAAATAAAATGTGAAGGTTCGTCCAGGAAAAACAAAAAATAAATTTCAGTGGCTTACTTGAATTGGATGCGTAGCCATGGACTCCCTTGTGGCTGTGGCCTGATTGGAGAGTACGTTGGTGGTGGGGCCGCATACGTCAAAATTTGGAAGTGCAGAAAGGTCATCTGTGGTCACGGCGGCAGAGCAGTCTTCATCGGCAGAAATGGTGGAAGAGATCAGAGACTCGGGTGCCACAATTTGGAACCCAAGGATTTCATCACCAGCAGCTTCAGTGTTCAGTTGTGTTGGTGATCTTGTGAATCCACTTGGAGCATCTTCTTGATCAGACATCTTGGAATCCAGCCCAGACGACTCAAAATTATTTGATTTCTCAGCTTCAAAAACTGGTTCACAAAATTGGGCAGACACAGTGACCAAAGCCTGAAAAGAAAAAAAAAAGTAAATTAAAATCAAAATTGATTTCTGAACAAGTCAGTTAAAGGCACATTCAAGATACGTTCTGGAGGCTCTGCTAGTTATGAAGTGCCAGAAATATCGAGTAGGAGACTTGGGGTCACCATGGCAACGACACATACTATCTCATTGCTCATGTACAAATACTCAGCTTACAAATAACGATTTGTCAATTTGAGGAGGCTAATTTTAATCATGAAACAAAACCATTCCAAATCTGCTCATATATTTTGCAATAATACAAAATACGTCAGGGCAGTATGACATAAACACTGCCTTCACAATGAACGGATGACTTACCTTGGCGTCAGACCGTGCCTCCGGATCGATGAAATCATCACTTTGCGCCCCTGGAGTACACAACGTGTCATCTGGGTCCTAACACACGAACATGTCAGTCTTCAATGCAAATGCTCCATGTGCAAACTCATTTATGTCGTGTGTGTGTGTGTGTGTTTACTGAGAAGTGACCCATTTAAAGCAGCTGCTTGTGACAATGGCCTCTCTCACAGCCTGACGATATCAACAACGTACTATAGTATAGAAAGCATCTGTTCAAGGTCTACCTCGGGAATACTGCACGTTAGTGTGTCCGAGGATGATGAGTGACAGCTCTCGTCTTCATCCAGATCATCTTCTGAATTAGAGTCCTCAAAAGCCTCCTGGTTTAAAGTGAGAAGGGCAAAACAAATTGAATACAGTTAGTTGCAGGTGAGCACCAAGGATCGCGTGGATTCCTCACCATTTATTGCGGATAAGGATTAGACCCAAATATTTTGGATTTCCATCAAACTTTTAGCATGAGAAGGTGTGCGATTTCGTGCTGGTCCAATTTAGGGATTATTGGTCTTGGCCTGAAGTCAGTGCTCCATCGAGTCTTATGGGCCAATTATTTCCAGCGCTAAAGTCCACAATGCAGTATTTGGTTTCCATGCAGCGTCGGTGCTTTTACCTCCAGAACAACGGCTCGTTGCTGGGTGAGATGTTCTAAGTCTGTCAGCACCTGCAGGAGCGCTTTGATTCCAGAGAACACCACGAGAGTCTCCTTTGTTTCCTGTGGGAGGCGTAAATCTCCTCTGCAGCTCTCCATGTCCTCTAATGTCTTCTGCATTGAGTGGACATTGTCCAGGATCACCTTCACGGTCCAAGTGGAAAAAAGTGATGTGGAAAGTGGGGAAGCGTGGGTGGGGAGGGGGGTGTTGGAGGAGAAAAAAAAACAAACGTCCAAAAAGTCCATTAAGCACACAAGATGATGTCATTTTATTCATCGCTGTGGGTTACACCATACTGGATCTCCTCTCATTTAATCGCCTCTGTACATTTCTAATTCTAATATTATAAATTTCACTTCACCTGTTGGTTGTGAAGATGCTCTTTCAGCGTGACGTTGGAATTGTCTAAGGAGGACAAAATGGTTGTGATTTTTGGGACATTCGCCTCTAAGGTCTTTAACTCCTCTTCCAAGGCCTCCACTACCTGGAAAAGGTGACGGCAAAAAATTCAGTGCTCGGGCTTTTATGTCAAGAGTTGCTTAAATCGAGCAGATTCACTCCTGAAAGTCATGTGCTCGGCCAATATGGGGTTTATAAATATGTATAATATACCTCAACAGCCTGCTTGTGCTGCTCCATTGGCTCGAGAATGCTCTTTTGCATCTTTTCAACCTGTCGCTCGGTGCTGTCCATCCTCTCCTCCTGCGCACTGAGATCACACACGGCAGAAATCTCAGCGAGCACTGGCCGGAAATCCTTCAGCGTGTTCCTGATTCTCGCCGAGTCATCCAGGACCAGCTGCGAGCGTAGATGACAACAAATCATGGTGTAGAGAATCACATTAAAAAAGGCGCGTCTGTTTAGTTGTAAAGCTAGCATGTTACATTTTTGCATGCGGGAGCAGAGCAAGCAGAGGAACGTTTGCGATATAAATGCTTGTCGTCACGAACCTGCAGGGTCTTGGCATGATTCTGGAGGCCTTTGGATGTCGGCAAAGAGCAGGGAGTGCTCAGCCATGCCTGGGCCTCGTCAAACCAACAAGTGGCACCGCACAGGAGGTCTTCGAACTCTTGAAGAGAGGCCGGGATCTAGACCACAAACGAAGCCAAATTCTTTGAGGAATTCTACTTCCCCCCCAAACCGATCCAACCCTTTTGGAATGGACCACAACAAAGGTTGTGGGCCACAAGGGCCGATATCACCGTGACAGCTCTTTACTAAGTCTGTCCAGAAGACAGGAAGTTCCTGTATATCCCGATTACTTTGTCCAAAAATGGCACGTGCCGAACCTTGCTCAGGAAAGCGGTGCGATGCTCAGCCGTCTGCACCGCATCTTGGTAAAGCTGCAGCGGCCGCGTCAGCTGGTCCATAAACAGCTGAGCTTGCTCTGATTGTTCCTCCACCAGATCCTGCACCTCGCTCTCCAGGAGCATCAAGCGACTGTGACACGAGTCCAATTCGTCCCACACGTGCTTGGAAAAACACATTTGATTGACAAGTCAAGTTCGCGAGATGCCGTTCACCCAGTGAGGCAAACGCGTGACGCTCACTCACTCACCTTGAGAGCACGTTGGGCCTCGGCGACAGTGGAGCTCTTTTGCCCCAGAGATGATTTCACTTGGTCCAGGTCAGAGATCAACTCTGTCACTTGGCAAGCCAGTTTTTGAACGGACACGCTCTGCTCTAGCTGCAGAAAAGGCCAGATGGGAATGGACACACACACAAACACTGTGAGAGTTTGGTTCGGAGATCATGACATGATTGAGGATGTTGTTCATTGTGAAGCGAGACCTTTCTTTCAGCTTCCTCCACAGACTCTTGAAGAGTTTGCATTCGCTGGTCAATATCAGCTGGAATCTCAGCATATCGCTCCAGCACGCCGTCCAGGATCCCTTTTAGGTTAACTTTCTGATTGGACAGATCCTTTGTGAGCTCCTTTCAGAGTGAAAATGAAGGCGAAAATGAAGGCCAGGAGAGAGGAAAAAAATTAAAATAAAAAGAAAATAGTGTTTTTCGCTTCTCATGTGGCAAAATAATCAAAATACTTTTAAGGACACAGTGCTGTCTAAAAAAAAAAAAAAAAAAAAAAACTCACCTGGTGCTTTGCTGAACCCATTTCGTTGCCCAGCAAGGGAAGAATAGTGCACATGCTCTTCTCCACCTGTCCTATCCTCTCCTCAAACTGCTTTCTTTCCCTCGCCTTGATCTGGGCAGCAGCAATCACATGGAGATTCCTTTCCTCCAAACTGTAGAGAACATGTTTTTTTTCCCCCATACGTCTGCTATGAAAGTAATATCAAGATGTTCTGTACCGAACTAACCGTTTGACATTTTCTCGAATCTTCACAAGGGTTTCACCAAAAGTCCCTGGCAGACTTGCGGGATCTTTGGAAGTAGTCAAGCTCAAGACATGCTCCAGGCGGTGCTCCAGTGTAGCCAAAGTTTGCCTCTCTCGTTCTAGACCAACCTCCTGCAGCTCTGCCTGGGCCAGAAGCTTCTGGAGTTCATCTTGTGTGAACACGAGAGCGGAGGAGTCAGGAACCTCGGCCTGGAGTCTCGACAATGAGGTGCAGCACTGTTCCACCTATAGACGAATATTTATCAAATCTAAAATTCCCACAAAGGTTGATTGTCATCGCTTTCAAGGAGTATTTGCATGATAGGTTTCGCGAGACTTACACTAGTTGTGATATCCTCCCATTCCTCGAGTCTCTGATCTGCTTGTGCCATGAGCAGACCAACACCGCACCGCAGTGATACCCAGCGCCTCCAGAGGGCGCCGAGCTCTCCATCCTTTCCAATGCCACATCCCTGCACGGGACATCTTTCTCGGAGCTCTTCAATCTTCCTAGCGAGGTCGCAGACACCCTCCATCAAGTGCTTTAATGGAGAGAACAAAAAGAATCTGGTGGCGTCTTGAAAAGCGCAATATGAATTTTAGGAAAGCCTCCGGTGTCCAAGCTTGGGTTCGAAACTGCGTTAACATTTCAACTCATGCACGAGGTGCAACTGGAGCGATGCCACATCTGGCTTACGGTGCCTACCTTACACCTTTTGTGTTGCGCCAGACATTTTTCATAGGACGTCACTTCTTGCGCCGCACAGGCCGAAAGCTTTGCTTCAAAATCAAGAAGACGCCGCCGCATGTCTTTGTGACAAACCCTGTGGCTTTGTTGTCGAAGTTCACATCTGAAACAGAGTTTTCGCACTTGCCTTTAAAAAAAAAAACTGGAGAAAAAAAAGGCCTAATAACCGAGCCAGTACCTCTGCAAGGACTCCAGTCTGAGCTGAGCCTGAGCCTCCAGCACGGCCCTTCCCACTAACAATTGACTCAAGATGCCAATGTGCAGATCTTGAGTCTCCGAGCAGGAAAGGCAGACTTGCTGAGGCACCAGTTCAACAAGATGCTGGATATGGGCAACAAATCCTTCTTCCAGAGCTTCGATGGCCTGTTGCGTCTGAGTCTGTTCCTCCGTACAGTCAAGGAAGCCACCGGGAGCTGATAAAAATGTGATCTCAGCATTGTGAAGAAAGTTGATGGCTCCCTGAGCAGCCCACTGGTAATCTTTCAAGGATTCTCGAGTCTTGGATAAACACTCCTGTTGAATACAAATTCCAAAAAGATCTGTTGAGACTCACAATTCACTCCGAAAACCTGAAAGCTCAAATATGGTGGCAAAAACCCGAGAGGTCACCCAACTTGAAATTTTCGATTGTGTTACTTATCGGAAACTTGTTTGTTCCAATCTGATCATTTTGCAGCTCGAGTGGTCGTGTTGGACCTTCAAGGTTGCACCGCATTCATGTTCTCTCGACTCACCATCTGTAAATGACATTCCTGCATGGTTGAATCACCCAGTAAATGTAAATCACTGCGGCTCTTGAAGTCAATTTCCTCTTTCCGAGCCAGAGCGCGCAACAGGCGCATCGCAGACTCCATGTTTCTCCACATCACCCATCGCCTTTGCAGGGCGACATCGACGGCGCTTTCATCGGGACCGACTGGTTCCGCACCCCGCAGCTCTCGTGCCGTTCTTCGGAAGAATTCCGTCAAGGCGGGAAGCTCGGAGGAAAAGCGCAGGCCCAGAAGAAGCTCGCCCTCTAAATGTTTCATCTCATCCGTGGCAGCCTGCTCCGAAGAAGCAAACGCCGCTACAGCGCCGCTAATGCTCCGCCTCTCCAAATCCACCTCCGTTGGGCGCAGCTCCGGAGCGATCACCTCCAGTTGCTCCGCCGCTTCTTGACAGCGCGTCTTCATCAGCGGGAGGTCGACCAAGAGCGCCTGGCAACGTTTGAACCTCTCACCCAAACTTAACGTTCCGTCTTTCGCCTGCTGGATTTGCTCTTGGGACACGTCCCTTGAATCCTCCATTTGCTTCTTCAGTTGCAGATATTTGTCTTGCTCAAAAGCGTGAAAACTCAGAACCTTGCACCTGTCTTGCAGTTCTCCAACGGTGCAGAGCAGAGCGCTGCGCTCGCTCTCCAGGCAGTGTTGAATCTCTTGCACTTGACACTGATGTTCCATGAGCATGTGCTTCACCAGTGCAATCGTTAAAACGGTTTCCTGCGTCATGGGGAAATGATGTTGGTCCAAAGAAGAGGAGATGTTCTTTAAGCTACGCTCGATGGTAGACAGCTCCTCACCGGAAGAGGTACGCTCATGAATCAGCTCCTCCAAATGCCAGCTGGTTGCACTCTCTTGTGCCAGCAAGCCATCAAATTGCGTCCAGATGGCCGAGAGCCTGTTGACAAGGTAACGGCTCTCTCCGGGGCTCAGACCTTCTGCTATGACCTGGCACCTTTTCTCCAAAGAATCGACCAGATTTAGATGACACTCGATATCCTCGGCGACTCCTTGGTGATGCTTTCGCTTGCTCTCGAGCGAGCTGACGTCAACTCTGGAAACGTTCTCCGCATAAGCACGGGCGTCTCTGTTGGCGTTTGTTTCGACGAGCCACGTGTCGATGCCGTCAAGGTGATCTAACAATTCCTCCCTCTCCTGGAGATTGTTCATCATCGCGTCAAGAACATCCTCCAAGTTTTCAGTGAGCGCTTCGTAGAGCTCTTCGACGACTTCTGACCCTTGGGCGTAGTCCTCATTGTCCGCGTCAGAGGTTTCCCGCCCCGTTTGTTGTCGTTGCATCTCGGACCTTCTGATGACGATATCCGTCTGATATTTCCTGATTTGATCAATCTGAATTCGAGCTTCTTCGGGGAAAAGAGACAACTTTTTGCCAATGCTGATGTGGTATTCCATCCGTTTTGCCCACGCGATGCATTCTTGGAACTGCTTGTTAGCATCAGCGTCAAGTATGGAGGGGTCAGCCTGGATTTTGGTAGTCTCCAGTAAGGTCCTCAATTCTTCAAGGTCACGTGTAATGCTGTCCTTCTCGTTCTGACCTATACCGGTTTGGAAAAGAGCATCTGAGAAAGATTGTAGATGCGCATGCAGCTGGTGACACATTTTGAGGTCTTCGCTCAAACCAAAAAGTTCTAACGTGTTTTTGGTGCCGTGACCTTTGCCACGGGACTCCACGGATTCCTGAATCGCTTCAATCTTGTCTTTAAGCCGTTGAGCCTCTTTCATCAGGGCGGATGATTGACGGGACGAATTAGCTGCCTGACACAGGGCTCTCTTGATACTTCCGCTCAAAAGTCTCCACTCATCTTGCACATCTCCAAGCTGAGCGAGAAGAGCACCCGAGCTTTCGGCATCGCTCAAGTGGACGGCCAACTGGCTGCTCGACGCATGGAGCCCCTGCCACATTTCTTCCTTTCCTTTCAAGGTTTGCAGCAAGGAGCGGAGTTTTTCAGCTTGGAGAGCACTGCTTCCCAAGGCGCCTCTTGAAGAAAAGAAAGAAAGCAAAATGATATCAAGACGACGCATACGTTAACGTGACAGAGTTGGCAAGAGTTAGCCTTCAAACATGGTGACGCTAAAGTTGACTTAGTCGTACAATTGCTAGAGAAGCATAAAATCAAATCACAGGTTCCAACATCCCTAGGCGGGGAGGACTCAGCTGCATGGATGGAATCTTTTTTTTTTTTTTATTTTCCTCATTACTCACAAGTTATTCTTCTCAGTATCGACTTGACGCAGGAAAGCTTTGATTGTCTCGAGCTGTTTGCGATACTGTTTGGCTTCCCCCAGCTGGGCCGTTTTGACTTGCACTGTGGCCGAGGCGTCCAGCAGCGCAGAAGTCCACTGGGCTTGCAGTCTTTTCAAGACATTTGGAGCATAAGATTGAGAAGAACTGCTACTTTTCATCAGAGCAACTTGGTCCAGCACACGTTGCTTGTAAGCCTGCAGTAGCCGGAATGAAAATTTTGTGAGTGGGGGGCATTCAATACAAAAAATTACAATCTATTCATACACCGAGATGAATAGCGTAATGCGTAAAAATGACTCCCTACCTCCGCCTTCTCCAGTTGTCTGGCCATAGCCGCAACATCCAGCTGGGCTGGCAGATATCGACAAGCCAGCACATTTTGGACTGCTCTGATCAGTCTGATCTCCGCCTCACTTGGTGAAGACCGAAGGTACCAGTTTAAATCCAAGCGCGTCGTCCTCTACAACATCAACTAAATGTCAATGCAACTTGCGACACAACGAAGGAGTAAGAAACAGAATGAAAATGAGACAAGTTGAGAAAATAGGGTCAAGTTATTCAAGAGTAAACACTCACATTTATAATGTCGTTTCTTTCGACCATGTCTTGGATCTCGGACAAAAGGCCCTGCATGGTGGAGCCGCGTTTGGACCAGGGATGTCCCGGGGATTCGCAAGTGCCCTCCTGGTCAAATGGCGGCTTTTCCAACCTCACATCAGAGGACATCTCTAATCCGACCTAAGCGATGCACATAAAAGCACGGGCAGGGTCACCCCCTCCCAAAAAAAAGGCAAATTCTGTTCCTGTTTGGCCTCAGATAACAGCGCTTCCTGTTCATGTTAGCGTGTTGACAGTAGCCAGGCGAGTCAGTACAGTGAACGCAAGAATTTGCAAAGTGTGGAACAGTACGCCTCGGGCCTGGGGACGGAAGATTATGAGCTCGTCAATTAAATGAGAAGGCAGCATGAGCATGCACCACACACGGCATGTGAATGTAAAAATCGAAGCGTTTTTTTAAATACGCTTTTCGGAAGAGAACAGCCCACACAATAGTCGGCAAAAGCTGCAGTTTACACGACGAGTCGAGAGGCCACGTTGAGAGATTTCGACACGACTGCTTAATGGGGTACCCTTTCAAAATGCAAAGCCACAGGCAAAAGACAAAAAAAAAATAACAACTTACTTTTGCCGTCCCCTGGGCCTCCAAAGATACTTCAGCCATGGAAGAATCGTTGCATCTTTTGGGGATCAAATATTTATAGCAGTGTGTTTGCCCCCCAGGGTGACTGCAATCTGTAATCTCTTCTTGTTTGGCATGCGGAAATGGCTTTTTTGCATCTGAAATCAGCAAGATTAAAATGTCCAATGAAGCCACACAATGTGCCCCCTCCCGACTACACCCCCGAGACTTGGTTTGCTGAGATTGTTGATTTGCAGTCGATTTTGACTTACGGCTTTTAATGTTTCCATTTGGTGAGGACACACGAGACACATCTGATTCAGGCTCGTCCAGTGCCGATTTTCGCTGCACAATTGTGACCACGCTGTCACTCTCGCGCTCTGCTCCCTCACAAAACAGAGCGCCATTCGAACCTCCATCTGAGGATTCATCGAGCCTCTCCATCGCAGTCATAAAGATGGCCTTTGGGGTTCCTCCAGCCTTCAGGGATTTTTCTGTATCAGTTATCTTCAAGGTTTCCGGATAGTTTGCTCGTCTTGCCTTATTTGACCTTTCTGAGGATGGACATTTCATTGGAAAATATTTGTTGGTGTCATCTGCTGGCCCAAGAGACTGCAAGACGCTGCGTTTTTTTTTAACACTTCTGAGGGCCTCGTAGCTTTAGATTGGGAAATATTAGGACGCGGGAAAAACAAGATGACGGTCGAGGGGTTAAGTCAGAACATGTATCTCAAGGGGCATAACTACGGACATGAGTTTAGAACGTAAATACTGTTCATGAATAAGGGCATAAAATATACCACTCAAGGTACAGAAACGGCATGACGAAACGCAAAGCATTTTGACTCTCGGCTTTTAGGTTTACTTGGCGTAACCAAAACACCCGGACTTCCTCTCAGATGAGTCAAGTATTTTTGTGTTCATGGTCAGTAATGGATGATTTTTGTTTCAACACATTACATGCAATCAGTACAAAATTGGCTCTCGTTTGGTGCTATTACCTGGCTCGGGTGGGATGGTTGTGCTTGAACTGTTTGGCTCCTAAATTGTAGCTGGCTGAAGACCTGCTTCACCCCATCAGTCATGTTGTCAACACAGCTCTGTTTCTCTCGTTGATAAACGGACCTTCAGTTTACAGCTAGAACATAAGGTGGGGGCGGGGGGGGGGAGACAACGGAAGTTTAGATGTGATCCCACTAAATTCTTTTGAGAACCGGATGCTGCGGTTCGGGACCTTGCGGTACCTGTCAAGGCCGTCATGAATTTTCTGCAGAGTGATGTTGCTATCTGCTGGAAGCATTTGTTTTGAGACTCTGCAGTCCCTTTCGGTTCAGATACTCCAGAGGCCAGGCCCTTCAACCTTGCATCACAATCCTGAGAAAAGAAAATCCTCGATTATTGCTCTTTAACTGATATATTCTGATGCACAGATTTCTTCAAACAGAACACAAATTATGTAGTGTGGTAACGTTGAACATTGCGCAGGGTTTGAAGTGGCAAACAGAAGTCACATGTCCACTTCCTACTTGCATTGCATTCTTAATGTCACGGTTTGCATGAAGAAGAACAAAGTCCTGAACACAAAAAGAGTCCAAAGTATCAAACAAAAACCATGGCCGAAGCAAAAAACTAACAGTAATAGACACAGCAACAGAAAGCATGACGGAGACAAACCGAAACGATGACCCGACACAAAGCGGTCGGGCATCAAGTGACAACGAATTACAGTACACAATTTGGGACAGGTGTGCAGCTGCAGGCAGAGACCCTCCAGTGCCACCTGTTGGTCACAAACAGATCCATGACACCTGAATTGTGCTGTTTAAAGTGGACGTCGGCTTCTAGCGCCATCAAGTGCTATTGCAGTGGACTTGCATCCTGGTGGAGCCCAGACTCGCTTTCACATGTGCTCCTGTCGTTGGCGTCACTGAATTTGGAAAGTTCCACAAGCTCTTGTTGCTAAAGACTGCTGAAGCAGAAAGAAGGACCGCCGAGTGATGCACAACAAGACGATTGTGATGGTTCTGGAGATTTCAAACGTTGCTCAGGGTTTTTGAGAGCTGGCAATTTCAGGAACTTGCAAATGCAAATCACACCACAAGTGTTGTGAGAGTATTTGCTTTTGGTGATGTCCGCTGCATGCACCACACACAAAATTGACGGGGAGAAATTGGTACCTCGTGCTGACTTCAGAAGCGAAAAACACAAATGATGCTTTTAATTTGTCTATACTCTGCTCGATTTTCTATCCGCCGGAGCATTCACCTCTAGTTGTCATAGTAACGTATCGTTGTACGTAGCAGACAGGGTGAGCGGGGGCTCCATTCAAGACTGACTTGTCTCCATGTTTTTCCATCTCTGTTGCTTTGCTGTATTTGGTTTTCTTAATGTGAAAATGTCATTCTTAGCTATTGTCTTTACATAACAAAAATTCAATATTTTTCCTTGACAATTATTGATATACATTTTTTTTAAATGGGAATCAAAATAAAAGGGGAAAAAAATTATATCACTCATAACATTTACCTGAAAGAAAATGGAGCGACTTTAAACAGGCATTTAAACTTCAAATCCATGTATCAGGAAGACTAAAATTCAGACCCACTACCGCAGTTTCAGTTTCTTTTCATCATTCATCTAAGCTTTAATGAGACTATTTGGCTGGCGCAAGGCTGTTGTGATTTTGGCACAGCTGTGCCACAGGTTATTGGTCTTCACGTACCGCCTGCAGTGAGCTCAGACACTCCTGGTTGGAAAACACTGCACATCATTAGAATTCTGACATCAGGTCTGCATAGTATCGAGTGCCATTTTCTGAGTTCGTGTGATCAGTCTGCTTCAGCTCACTCACCTCAGACAAGGTCGAACAGTCTGCAGGGCCGCCTTCCGCCCTCTGTTTTGTTTGCTGACTGGAGTCTTGGATTTCCCGTTTCAGGTCGTCTCCTTCGAACGCTTGCTGGCTGACGTGATGGATCTGTTCTTAAAGTTGTCCTTTGCCCTTGAATCTATTGGTGAAACAAACGAACAACACTGTATTGAACCGCGTGCGGTTTACGAAACACACCTCCACAGCAGATTGGGCTTGTCCAAAATGATTAAAAGCAACAAACGGACACTCCTTAGTGAGCAAGTGGAAACAAATAAGGGAAAAATAGAAACAACAGATCCGTGTGAACACACCCATACGTGACACAATAACACGCTAATCGAGCTTGCCCCAGTCACCTCCTTGACGGTGCTTCGTGTCTCTTCAAAGCTTCCACCTGTTATGTTGCTTTGAAAGTTGTGGCGTTCTTTTTTTGCCAGGATTTCTCTGATGAATTGAGCTGTAAAAGTGACAAAAGCTAAATGATAGGCTCATTTCTCACCCTGTGGGACCCCCCCCCCAAAACAAATGCATAGACAGTGCCAAAATGTGATTATATATTTTAGTTGCCGTGCAATTAGAGTACCAAGTGCACAAATATAGTCTATGTAACGCATACTGTGTACCTGCTCGACTGGATTTAAAAAATAATTTAAAATACCGTTGCTGGTGTATTTCCAAATTTCTCTTTCATACTCTCTTTGCAGCAATGCAAATATTATTCCAAATGCTCACACGCTTTCTGTAGCCTCCAACAACACACATGCAGGATGAATGCAGGTGTGAACATGTTGAAATAAAGACTTGGGCGTTTTCACACACACACACACACACACACACACACACACACACACACACACACACACACACACACACACACACACACACACACACACACTTTTTGTGGCCGGGCAGAAACACAACTTCACGAAACAAGTAAAACTTGCCACACTGCACACCTTTTTCAACCAACCATTATTAGCGTTTGTGAGAATGTGACGAGTTAAGAGTTACTTGAATGGAGTTGAAATTCACTATTTAATTTAAAGACATCCATTTTGGTTATCCTCCGTCCTTCAACTATAGAATCACCTTTGTGTTCAACTAAACAGGCCCAGAAGTAAATTTGTCGTCATACTTTTTGTGGCCGTTTTTATTTGGTGGTGTGCCATGAAATTGTTCAAATGTAAAACGGGTGCCTTGGATCAATAAAGGCTACAATAAAGGTTATTATGGATTGCTTGTACACCCAAAAAGGTGTCAAACCGTCATCGTAAACTCATTCAAAGATTTCAAAGAACTTTTAACCCTAAACTATGATTGTCATATAATCACTATATACTATGATACATTGTTATTGAATAATTTGAAATTGTAACTTTGTAATTATAGGTGTTAACATTTTTTGTTGATTGGTTCTGAGAGAGCAACAGAATTCCACTCACTCACTGCAGTGTGTTGCATCCTTTTTGACCTTTCGTGACCGCAACAGATGTTCAGAGAGTCAAAATATTCCCCATCTGAGGCTTTATTGAAGGCAATTGATGTTGTCGGAGGTGAGAGTAAAGTGACATCCTGTGCAAGTCACGTCTGGAGTACTACACGTATCACGCTATTGTGGCAAATAAACCAGTGACGTAGACTCACCTGTGAATTTCAAGTGAATACATTCAAGTAATCACTAGGGCTAAGAAGCAAGTCTTAAATCAAGTCGTATAATCCTGTTCTGCACTAACACAAATTGGAATGATAATGAAATGCATTTTCACTCATCATGACCCCAAAAAGCAGATCTACACCTACAGCCGTTTTGAACTACTGCACATGACCAATTGCCAAGATGTCTGTTTGCAGCGGAGGGAAAGACTATTCTATTCATACAAGATGTCTGTTTGCAGCGGAGGGAAAGACTATTCATGAATATGAATCAATGTAATCGAGTTCTCTCATGCAGGTAGGCAATTGTGGGTGGAGCCGTTGTGCGCCTGAATGAGTCATAGTCTGACTATGTGAATGATCACTGTTTTCAAACATAGACAAACATATCACGAATCATAACAATTTAGAAAAATTAATAGAATTCGTGGGTAGACTAGCTATGAAACTTCTTGGCAGAACAGAAAATACACATATTCAGGCATTATTTTGCAGCTCTGAGTAAAGCGGTTAAGTGTTAGTGGGTAAATTGTCCGCTAGATGGCGCAGTGCAAACAAACTCAAGAGGTAAACTGCGTCATTTTGAGTAGAAGAAGCTTTACCACCACGACTTTGACGTCAGGAGACTGGTGCTAGCTTGACCTTCCTTCTGCTCGGTAACAAACAGAAAGGTGCTATCTCAATATTGTAACTCGTTTAGTCATGCATTGCGTTGGTGGTTAACATTTATTATGAAGTGAAAGCTTTATAATAAAATACGTGTTATATTCATTGGCGTGATTAGTTAGCTCGTCTTGTTAGCCTACAGCTAGTAATCGCTACTTTAGCTTTAGCTATGCTTCAGAGAACAGATGTGAAGTTAGTGAGACGTTAAATTGATTCCACATGAGCTGCATGCTTCGTCGTCATCTTGTACAAATAAAAAACTTGGCCACTAACAAATGACAGAAATAGTCTTCAAATATATGTAAAGCATTCTTAGCTTTACATTCTGTTTACTGAGAATTGATACAATTGACGGTCAAATATCATGTGATCAAATGCACTATACATTTTGATGAATAAGCAGTAATCTTCTGAGTTATGGATTTAAAATAAAATTTCAGATTCTGCTCCCCTTCAAAAAAAAAAGTGATAAAGTCGCCCTTTAAACACAATAAACGTAACTGAAGACGTTACTTACGTTTCTGTTGTTGCTTCCTCTTGCAGATGGCTGGACGCATGTTTGCAAATTGGTGGGCCAAAATGAGCCCTTACTACACCAAGGCCTATCAAGAAATGTGGGTCGGTGTTGGCATCATGACGTACCTCTACTACAAAATCTCCTATGGAGGTGAGTCAAAATTTCTTGCTGGCTGTGCAAGTTACTTTCATGTATTGGGAGGAGTACATACATGGGAGAAATGCAATGTTACATGCATACATAATATATTGCAGAAGATAACCCTAAAATCTACCTAAAGAAGCTTTGTAGTCATCTAAGAGACCCGGGGTGTCAAACTCTGATCCTTCAGGGCCACTTCGCTGCATATCTTCCATCTCTTCCTAGTGCAACACACCTGATTCAAATGAGCAGGGTCGGTATCACGTTCCTGCAGAGATAATTATTATGCCCATGCAGACCGGAGTGTGACACCCCTGAAATATACCATTTTTAATCAGAACTATGTCATTGTGGTAGAACATGTTGCATCTTACTGGTGTGAATTAGTGACAAACTTTTCATTTTCTTTCATTGTAGGCAAGAAAGCAGTGAAGGACAGTAAGTATCCAAACGTCTGAAAATGTGATTGTTGTGGTTTATTTTGGTGAGTGATCTGTGAAGTACACTTTAAAAATTCATGTTATTAAATTATTTTATAAACGGACATTTTGGGATTTTTTTTCTCAACCAGTGTGCAGTTACATGAATTCCCCTCTAGATGTCGGTGTCACAAAAGCGAATCCAATTATTTATATTATTTTTTTCATGGACTAATTCAATTTGTATTTCTTTTTGCAGAGCCAGCACATTAGGGTTTTCCACTTCTGACCAACCCCTCCTGCTGTAAAGTTACCCCCATTCACATTGGACATCTTGTTAATATGGATCTAATAAAGTTGTCAGTGAACAAACTTCTTTGCTTTTGTTTTCATGAGTGATATTTTCCCCTCTGCTTGTAAAGTTCATACAGACACTACAGAAAATAGGTTAACGGTCTCGGTTCTTGTGGAGATTGCAGATACCAGGCAGCAAGACTGAAGACAAAAATAATCTGACATTGAGTTAGTCCTCCATGGCGGTATTTCACACTGTACTGCAGCAGTTTGACACATTGGTGAATCGTCATTTGCATCAACAAAGAACGGTGCTTGCACGATTTTGTCGTAATGGTAAATTTAATTTTGTATATCCAAAGTACAACATGCGTCTGTGAGAACTTGTGAATAGTAATACTCGTACTGGTTTGACAAAAAGTAGTTAGGTGGCAGGTCCGGGAAGTCAGACAAAACATTCCAGAAATTACTCCCAAAACAAAAACTTTAATTAGCATCTAGGAGCATTAATAACAATAACAGAGAAGCAAGAATGATTTGTGGTGAATGTGTTGTGCCCGCCTATAAGCACCATCTTAAAAAAATGGATGAGAACGTATTATGTTATTTTTCTCGTGGGATTTAAATTGGGCTTTGCTACTTAAATCACTTTGCTACTGAAGCATGTGAGTGGGGGAGGTGGAAAAAGGTCTCTGGCGCCCTCCCTCAGCTCGCACACACAGTCCGCAGCTCTTTTTCTCCCACATTCAAACATGGCGAAAGTCTTGACGACCAGACCGTCACCTCCATCCTCCTCACCTTCATCCAAACAACCGCCGCCGAGATCTGAACCCTCCTCCTCATCTCCGGCACAGTGATGACCCGGGAGGATGGAGAAGTTGTCGGCGAGCCTGTCGGAGATCTCCTGGAGCCCGCTTGCGCTGCCGTTGGACGCGGTGGTCAGCAAGTTCCGTCTGCCCACTCTGGTCCGCCTGGCCCACGGTAAGAGAATTTACAGTCACGCAGGTGCTACTTCGTTCAGGAAACATATCACTTTTAGGTTGCGAGTGCTGTCACTTTGACAATTGCCCGCCGTTAAGTTAAAAGAAAGAAACACAATTCAAGTGTTGCAATGAGGAAAACGAAATAAATACTAAAAGACTATAGTGTTTACATGTGATGTTGACTTTGGAAAAACGACGCAATTAAAGTGTAAAGCTTAACAATCTGGGTTTTTAATAGCGGCAAGTTAGCGTAAATATTTAGTGTTTCCGGTGAAGACTACAAAATAAACCGCTGTTTTAACACTATTTTAGACAGATCGTATTTAAAAAATGTTCCTTAGTTGTGTCATACTTAACATAAAGCCATTTAAATACAGATAGTGAAAATAGGTGTCAAGAAGGACATTTTTTTTGAAAAGTCAAATACATTTCCGTCTCACGTCATTCATTTTTGCTACTTTGACGTGGTGACAAAGTCAGCGTTCTTTGATTCTGTAGGTTAATCCTAAACCAGCGATTTGTATGAAAGTCGTCTGTACGTTTCTTGTAATATGCGCTGCTTGTTTCCAAAGTGAATGTGTCGCCCTGCACCTCGGGGGGCTTGACTTTGGGAACGAGCGGTGTGGGTGTTCTGTCCAAGTTGTTCTGGTCCAGAGCTTCTCCGGAAAAGCCACAAAGTGTCTGTTGTGCTGCTGAAGTGCCGCTCAATTCTTTTCATATGTAAATGATGCAACGTGTCGGCGGATGCGCTGAATACTAAAGATCCGCCAAGGGGAAAGTCTCCAGCTTTGCGTCGTCGAGAAAACCGCGCGTCTCATCCGTGTCACGCTCCATCGAAATGTACGACTGCTTGCATTTGCGGCGCGCTCCCGCGACGCTGGTTGCTTGTTTCCGCAGCCAGACAGCGCAAATGATATTCAATCATATTCAATCATAAACATGCGCTGTTTCCATTTCATATTTATCACCATGCAGATGGGATGTTTTGACAAATTAACATCTACACTATCATAAGAGGATCGTTTCCAGACTGGAGTGTTTGGAGACAAATCCAGAGAGGCCAGATTGAGATGGTTTGGGCGTGCAGAAAGTGGAACAACCAGATAGAAGGAAAACGGGAGGAGAAAGAGAACTTTTATGGAAGTGATGAGGGAAAACTTGCAGGTAGCTGCAGTGAGACCAGACATGCCGAGAACAGTGGGGCCCGTGGTCTTCTCTGTCATGACTAGGAGCCTTCTGCGATGGCATCACACAAAGCAAAACACACCTGCGGAAGGAAATTGCTTTTTCAAAAGCGTTGCAACATTCGCTCGGATCTTTTGTGTTCTATCGTCGCGAAAACAGAAACACGAGTCAGGCTCTCATTGCCTGTGTGCGTGTGACTCAATCGAACCATGCACTGGTGCTTTCCGTCGGAGTCTGCCGTTGTCTTGACGATGGCTCTATTGCGGAGTTCTGTGTGTGTGTGTGTTGACAGCGTAATAGTGGGCTGCCAGCCGCGTCGCATGATTTGGGGGTTTTGAACTGTCACCGGTGGTAATTATGGACATCCATTCCTCAATGTACAGTATGTGTTACAGAATGAGTTTTCGTATTTTACATCGCTTAGCTATTTATTTTGGCTTTTGGGGGGGAAAAAATGTATGCCACGTTTAACCTATACATGCTTTTGGATGTGTGTGTGTGTTTCTCTCAGGCGAATGTGTTGAGGGTCTGTCAGAGGATGACGTGGTTCTGCTCCACTCCTGCCGTCAGTGGACCACAGTGACCGCTCATAGTTTAGAAGAAGGCCATTACGTCATCGGGCCCAAGATTGACATCCCTCTACAATACCAAGGTGAGGGGATACTGTGTTCTCACACACACGCACACGCAGACATGACTTTGTGTTGATGTAATTGGTGAGGAGGGTCAATTTAGTCTTATGCATACTGTACATGGACTTCTTTACATTGTAGCAAATAGCCATTTCTTCACACACTCCCTAAGAACATACAAGAAAAAAGGATGAGGGGTGTACTCACTTTTGTGAGAGACTGTCTTCCAGACAATCTGTCGTCATGCCACAACAAATCAACACTGGTAGTTTCCCTCTCTCCCGTTCATTGACTGCAAATGCTGGATGTGGGTTGGGTCTGCTCAGTATGACCTCACCGAAGCTCAACCCCGCCATCCCGTTCTTGAGACTGCCGGACCAGTCGTATTATTCACTGTGTAACTGGAGCTTTATGCCTCCTCTTCATTGCTTCCTCGACTGATGGAGGAGCGCTGATGTCACCTCACACCACTCCCGCCTCCCTGGCTCCTTTTTGAAGAAAAATGAGAGAACATTTGGGGTCAAGTGAAGGAAGTATGATGAGATGAACACTTGACTGGGTTGATTGACAGATAAAGGACCGAGCTAAGGATACAAGGCTGCGAAATCGAGATTTGCTCGTTTCAAAGAAATGTTTTGCGCATTTTTTTCTGTAAAACTGAAGAGATGACATGAAGTCGAGTGTCAACAAGAAAAGTAGAGTTCAAATGATTGTTTTATTGTGGGATGGTAGGAAAGTACTTTTTTTGT